TTTACTTGCATTAGAAAGGCATCCATTACCTCATGCTACAACACGTAATTAAGAAGTCAATGTGCTATTTCACTTAGCCTTACAAGATAAACATTGTATTATGCAAGAATAAAAGTTGTGCAAACAAGAAAAATCCCAAATAAGCAACCTTAAAGCACACCTAACTGAACTAGAGAAAAAAGGACAAATGAAGCCCAAAGTCAGCAGAAGGAGAGAAATAATAAAAATCAGAGCAGAAATAAATACTATTGAAACGAAAAAGGCAGTAGAAAGGATCAATGAGACAAAGAGCTGGTTTTTTGAGAAGATAAATAAAATTGACAAACCACTAGCCAGACTTATAAAGAAAAAAAGGGAGAAAGCTCAAATAAACAAAATCAGAAATGAGCAAGGAGAAATAACAACAGACTCTGCAGAAATACAACAGATTATAAGAGAATACTACAAAAAACTATATGCCAACAGAATGGATAACCTAGAGGAAATGGATAAATTCTTGGACTCCCACCATTTCCCAAAGCTCACTCAAGAAGAGGCAGACAATTTGAACAGACCAATCACAAGGAAAGAGATTGAAACAGCAATCAAAAACATCCCAAAGAATAAAACCCCGGGACCAGATGGCTTTCCTGGGGAATTCTACCAAACTTTCAGAGAGGATTTAATACCTATCCTTTTCAAGCTATTCCAAAAAATTAGGGAAGATGGAACACTTCCTAACACATTCTATGAGGCCAACATCACGCTGATACCAAAACCAGACAAGGACACCACGAAAAAAGAGAACTACAGGCCAATATCACTGATGAACATAAATGCAAAAATTCTAAACAAAATTTTGGCAACCAGAATTCAGCAATTCATCAAAAGGATCATACATCAGGATTCAAGTGGGATTCATTCCAGGGACACAGGGATGGTTCAACATCCGCAAATCAATCAACGTGATACACCACATCAACAAACTGAGGAATAAAAACCACATGATCATCTCAATAGATGCAGAGAAGGCATTTGACAAGATCCAACAGCCATTTATGATAAAAACTCTGAACAAAATGGGCATAGAAGGAAACTACCTCAACATAATAAAGGCCATATAGACAAACCCATAGCCAACATCATACTCAATGGGCAAAAACTGAACGCCATCCCCCTGAAAACAGGAACGAGACAAGGATGCCCTCTATCACCACTCTTATTTAACATAGTACTGGAGGTCCTGGCCAGAGCAATCAGGCAAGAGAAAGGAATAAAAGGAATCCAAATATGGAGGGAAGAAGTGAAACTCTCGCTGTTTGCAGACGACATGATCTTATATATAGAAAACCCCAAAGAATCCATTGGAAAACTGTTAGAAGTAATCAACAACTACAGCAAAGTTGCAGGGTGTAAAATCAATTTGCATAAATCAGTAGCATTTCTATACTCCAGTAATGAACCAACAGAAAAAGAATTCAAGAATACAATACCATTCACAATCGCAACAAAAAGAATAAAATACCTTGGGGTAAATTTAACTAAGGAAGTGAAGGACCTATATAATGAAAATTACAAGGCCTTTCTGAGAGAATTGGATGACGACATAAGGAGATGGAAAGACATTCCATGTACATGGATTGGAAGAATAAACATAGTTAAAATGTCCATTGTACCTAAAGCAATCTACAGTTTCAACGCCATCCCAATCAGAATCCCAATGACATTCTTTACAGAATTAGAACAAAGAATCCTAAAATTCATATGGGGCAACAAAAGACCCCGAATTTCTAAAACAATCCTGAGAAAAAAGAACAAAATGGGAGGCATCACAATCCCTGACTTCAAAACATACTACAAAGCTACAGTAATCAAAACAGCATGGTACTGGTACAAAAACAGGTGCATAGATCAATGGAACAGAATCGAAAGCCCAGAAATAAAACCACACATCTATGGACAGCTTATCTTTGACAAAGGAGCAAAGTGCATACAATGGAGAAAAGAAAGTCTTTTCAACAAATGGTGCTGGGAAAACTGGAAAGCCACATGTAAAAGAATGAAAATTGACCATTCTTTTTCACCATTCACCAAAATAAACTCAAAATGGATCAAAGACCTAAAGGTGAGACCTGAAACCATAAGGCTTCTGGAAGAAAATGTAGGCAGTACACTCTTTGACATCAGTATTAAAAGGATCTTTTCGGACACCATGCCTTCTCAGAGAAGGGAAACAATAGAAAGAATAAACAAATGGGACTTCATCAGATTAAAGAGCTTCTTCAAGGCAAATGAAAACAGGATTGAAACAAAAAAACAACCCACTAACTGGGAAAAAATATTTGCAAGTCATATATCTGACAAAGGCTTAATATCCATAATATATAAAGAACTCTCGCAACTCAATCACAAAACATCAAACAACCCAATCAAAAAATGGGCTGGAGACATGAACAGACATTTCTCCAGAGAAGATATACGGATGGCCAATAGGCACATGAAAAGATGCTCATCATCGCTGATCATCAGGGAAATGCAAATCAAAACTACACTAAGATATCACCTTACACCCGTTAGAATGACAAAAATATCTAAAACTAATAGCAACAAATGTTGGAGAGGTTGCGGAGAAAAAGGAACCCTCATACACTGCTGGTAGGAATGCAAACTGGTGCAGCCACTATGGAAAACAGTATGGAGATTCCTCAAAAAATTAAAAATAGAACTACCATATGATCCAGCCATCCCACTACTGGGTATTTATCCAAAGAGCTTGAAGTCAGCAATCCCAAAAGCCCTATGCACCCCAATGTTTATTGCAGCACTGTTTACAATAGCCAAGACACGGAAGCAACCTAAGTGTCCAGCAACAGACGAATGGATAAAGAAGATGTGGTACATATATACAATGGAATACTACTCAGCTGCAAAACAGAACAAAATCATTCCATTTGCAATAACATGGATGGACCTTGAGGGAATTATGTTAAGTGAAATAAGCCAGCGAGAGAAGGATAATCTGTGTATGACTCCACTCATATGAGGAATTTAAAATTTTGGACTAAGAACATTTTAGTGGATACCAGGGGAAAGGTGGGGTGGGGGGTGGGCACAAAGGGTGAAGTGGTGCACCTACAACATGACTGACAAACATTAATGTACAACTGAAATTTCACAAGTTTGTAACCTATCATTAACTCAATAAAAAAAAAAAAACAAGGTAGCTTCTAATAAATTACTCTATTAGTGAACAGCACTTTTCTACAGTGACAAAAATAAAAATATCAGCGAAAGAAAGAAAAAACAAAGAATAAAAGTTGTGATCTTAACTAGCGACACTTCAATGTTGAGTATGAGAAAGTCTACCATGGCCTATGTCCCTTATAGGGTAACGACCTAGATATGATATAGCAAGCTGACTAGTAGTTATACTTCGATGTTAAAAGAAAAGGGGCCATTCAATTTCTAAGAAGGCACTAGAGACAGTTTGGAATGAATGAACTTCACAGAGACAGAACCCAAAATGAAGATTCACAAGCTATTAGAAGGGAACTCAGAAATGTCTGGGATAATGTTTATGTCAAAGAAGAAAAAGAAGGGTTCGTTCACTTGGTAACCAGGTGAAGGCCTATTATGCACTAAGGGTGGTGCAGCAAGAGGTGAGGCTGGAGGCTGGGAGGAGGAACAGGGAGAAAGCTGGCTAGAAAGGTTGAAGTGATACCGGTTTAGAACAGTCACTGTGAAGGATGGGAAAGCTGACCCGGCACAGCTGGAACAGATGAGGGGTAGCTGTGCCACGGTACCAAAAATCTGTGCAGTCCCCAACAGCAGGCATTCAAAGTTTGTTGAAAGAGCATATGGAAAGAGACGCTGGGCTGGAAGTGAGACCTGGGCTAGGGAACTAATCAGGTGGATGGCTTTGGCAAGTCACGTATCATCCTGTGATACGAGCACACCACTAAAGAGCTCTTCTTTTTGCCATACATCATTAGTCAACACTCTCTAGTTACACTTACAGTTCACATTACTCCATCTAATTCACAAGACAGTGTGAAAGATTTACAACATCTAATACCGTCCCCTGGCTGGATATTTCTTTTCACATCTGTCCTCAGAAAAAGAACAAACATCTGGCAACATGTATGTCTTAGATATCTTGTTTTAGGGGAAGTAAACATAATGGCTGGGAGTAAATCTCACTTTATCTTAAATGTCCAACATGCCCCCCACCTTTTAAATCCTTATATGTGCAATCTCGTCTCTAGATAAGGAGGCCTTAACACAGGGGTCCATGAATGGGCTTTTACGGAGAGTTCATAAACACCTCGAACTTATACGCAAACTGATTTTCTACACACATGTATGCACGAAGTTTCTTTACATTTTCAAGTGTATCTATAAACCCTCTCCCACAAAAAAACATTAAGTACCACTGCTCTAAGAAAGTTCCTTTTCTGGGGCTGGCCCGGTGTTGCAGCGGTTAAGTGCGCACATTCCACTTCTCAGTGGCCCGGGGTTCGCCGGTTCGGATCCCAGGTGCGGACATGGCACCACTTGGCACGCCATGCTGTGGTAGGCGTCTGACATATAAAATAGAGGAAGATGGGCTCGATGTTAGCTCAGGGCCAGGCTTCCTCAGCAAAAAGAGGAGGACTGGCAGTAGTTAGCTCAGGGCTAATCTTCCTCAAAAAAAAAAAAAAGAAAGTTCCTTTTCTAAAGCAAGTCTCCTAATAAGTTAATAATGGGTCTAATTCCCAGTATTTTAAAATAAATATTCTCATTAACCACCCAGCAAGGAGAGCAGGAAAAAACGGAATTGCTTTGGACAGCCTAACCTAATAGTATACTATTCAAAATACCATGCTATAGTATTTGATACGCTATACTGCAGTACTCAAGCAAGACCACAGGACTCAAGTCCTGACACTGGAGGCAGGCACTGATTCCAGTCTAGACCTGATATCGAACCTGAAATGAGTTCGCTCACCTGTTGCACAGCAAGCCAAGCTCTGACACCTGGGTTAGTGGAAGAAAGTAGGAATTTTATTATTGCACAGCACTGAGCAAGAAGAGAGGGCAGCGAACACTGAAATCTCGAACTCCCCGGAAAGCTAAAAGGAAGGGTTTTTATTTGAGGTTTTAGGTAGGGGAGGGGGAGCACACGGCCTTGCTGGTCGGAGCTTTCCCACCAGCCTGTCTTTGGCCTTTAGACTATTTGCAGAGAGGAGGGAGCCTGTGACCTTGCTGGTCAGCAGCTTTCCCACCAGGCTCTATCTCCTTGCTGGCAGGAGAGAGTGAATCCAGGTGCTTGTCCTTGGCTGTGTCTGTCTCCACGGAGGATAGCGGATTCTGAAGCCAGGAAGCCAGGGAGTAAGCAGAGAAAGACTGTTTTGGTTTTAACCCAATATATGCTGGGGGTAATGTAGGGAAACTGATATCAGGGTCAGTATCAATGCCCCCCTATTTTATGTCCATCCCTCAATCTTGAGAGATTTGGGGCAGTGCCAGATGTAGCTACTTCCCGTTGAATTAGGGCCTAGGTTGTTCCATCTCATTGAACCAGTCTTTTAATAAGTTGGTGATGTAGGTGGGCCCCCAAAGTTAGGCCTGTATCACGTAAGCAAGTAACCAGGTATTTAATAAGAAGTTTTTCTAGAGGAACACAAAGAGAAAAACAAGGTTAACGGTTTGAGAAAATTATAAACTAGTTCTTAAGCACAATGGGCAGCCAATCAAGATTCCTAGAAGTCAGGGTCAATGCATCTTTTGCAGTTTGAAATGTCTCTGATGGTGTCATTGGGCACTCAGGTAGCTTTTTGAGTGGCTTACACAGCAGTAGACATGAATCTCTCTTAAGTTTATATTAGGTCCTCCAGCTTCAGCTTGCAAGGCTTCAAGACAAAAAAGGGAGGTTTAGTTTTCAACAACTGTGAATGAAAATGATGGGGAAAACCCTGAACATGTTAGTTTGGAGGTTTGTAGCCAGATATTTCAGGAGACTAGAAGAATTCAGGATCCAGTCCAGTTAACAGATGTAACAAAAAATCTGAAAGACAATTGACAGAACCAAAATCCAACATCTACAAATGTGTATTATAGTTTCTATTGAAACATCATGTTTTTCTCTCTAAAATCACCCTCGATTTCACTAGACATAGCCAAATTAAGACTAACTGGTTTGCAAAACAAGTCTAGTTGTAATAAATTTGGCATAATTATTTACATAAGTACAGCAATAATAGTAATTGCTCATATAGGCTCTTTTAAATTTGCTTTGCTGGTACCTTATAAGGAATCTCAGGATGAACTTCAAAGGCCTCTCCGGGCCAGGAAAGCCGAGCAAAGCACCTGTCATCAGATTCTGCCTGCAGTACCTACAGATTTGGGTGAATCCCTCTCTTCGTGAGGTTCCCCAAAATACTGAGGTTCCTTGTACCTGCCAGAGGGAGAAACATCCTTTGCTCAACCTTACCAGGTTACTGAACCCATAAAAATGGTACTAGGCCAATATTTCCAAGTGGCTTTATTCCAGAATGTCAACCTTTGCTCCTCAAAGGCCATCTTGTCATATCCAAGTCTGTATGTTTTTCTCAAATATGATGTTCCAATCAAAGTCTTGGTATTATAACCAGTGTTTCCAATTGTGTCCTGTTATAAGAAGGACACGTTCTTATTGGACTTATGCAAACATCTATATTGCCACGAGAATAAGAATACTTACTCATCAGGAGTTTTTATATTTTGGAGGGCTCAGATAGGAAGAAAAAGATAAATGCTTCCATTTTATTTACAAATAGCTATAAGTCATAGTTCCTTAAGAGATTAGAGAAAAAGGTTTTCTTAAGTCTGGAAAATCCAAAACGTCAAAAATCAGCAATATCTCAATCAAAAAGATATAAAAATTATAATGATCCTCATCAGTTTATTCTGTCCTGTGTAATCGGTTCTTGATCTTAACCTTCCATCCACAGCTTTATGGGGTCATCAGTTTTTCTGTTAGAGTTCTGTAAATTTTTTACCCAGTTTAGTTTTATAATCTCAATGTTTATTGGAAACCTGTATTCTAGAGTGTCAGAGTCCTTTTTATGAATTTCTCTAAAGATGAAACATATTTGCAAAAACATCAAAGTAAAACAGCAACTGTCTGTAAATAACAAAACATTCAAAAATGGTAATTGAGAAAGACACTTGACCATTCTTGTGACATATAATACTTGGAGATAATAACCAGCATTATGGCTGACAATCAGAACAGATCAGAATTTTAGATAATTTTTAAAATACTTCTATCAATAACGCTCACTCACATAATACCATTAAGAATTTATCATTACCTATTTGACAACCCTTCCCACGTAATTTAACATACCAACCAAGCCTAATTAGTTTAGCATTTTTTCTTAGAGGAAGAGGGCAAATCTCTCCGAGAAGTCCCAGGGGCCCTCTGAAAATCCCCAGAGAAACTCTCCCTCCTCTTCCAGGTCAAAAGAAAGCTTTTATTCAGGACTTGAACATTTGCGTGTTGGGGGGAAGCTTGTCAAAAATATTAAAAGCTTTAAAACATTTGTTCAGATAGGAAACAAAACTCACTGCGAAAGTATGTTCAGGTATCTATTCAAAATGACAACAGAAATAGTCAAGGGGAAACCGAGTTACAATAGTCCAAAAGACCTTTTTATAATCTTTTTATCACGAGCAGATTAAAAGTTTAGGAAAATTATCCTTTTAAGAAAGAGGAGAATAAGCTTTAATTTTGTACCAGTTTACTTTTGACATGAAAGTTTATTTACTTAATCAGATTTATTTTAGTCTTAGCCAACTTGACTATGCACAAAATTTCACAGGGTTTTACTTTCACAAACATTTTGTTGCTTTTTTTACATTCAGAATTTGTCCCAGTACTTTAGGGCAAATTTACCTTTCTTAACTCACGAAACAAAAATATTTTCATTTTTTATATCTTTTTTATTGAAAACACATATTTTACTTTCTTTGTATACAGACCTTTTAGAAATAGGTGTTTTCTCATAGAAAATTCCTCAGCATACATAAAACATGTTTATCAATAAACCTAAGCACTTTTTATTTTCTTTGATATAAAACACCAAAGGCAGACAAATATATGCTTAGTAGTTAACCTTTAATATTTTATCTTACATGGAAATGACCTAGATACCCAATAAACTGTTATTATTTAACTTAATTTAGTAAAGCTATAAAGTTTAAGTTTCCAAAAAGATTTTGGAAGCTGTTTTTTAAGTATTCAGACTATAAAACATAATTATTGTACTTAAAAACTCTTACCCAGTTGTAATAATTATGTTTAAATTACTCTTAAAAACTTTATGTGACATTAAAGTAGATAACCATCATTTTAAGTTGTTTTAAGTACATATATCATAATATATATAATTATCATTAAAAAGTTTTTCCAAAAACTTTTATCCTTTTACATTTACTTAGTTTACCTGTCTTTAGCAATTATATTTAGATCATCTACAAAATCCTCATGAGACATTAAACAAAATTAGCTATTATATTGAGATATTAGTTTTGCTGATAACTTTTGCAACAGAGATGACATGAGCTCATTTGACCAGTAAACCCAGGCTGAATGTCTGCATCATAGCCAATGCTGATAACTTTGAAGACATGTCTATCTGAAATCAAAGCAGCAAACTTAAACAGGCTTTTATTTACCAAAGATCATTTTATAGCATGTTAAATAACTGTCTTTTAGAAGTTTTGACATATTAATCAAAGACTGCATTTTATTATGAGACATTGTGAATCCTCTCTTTTCTGAAACAGAGGTTTCTCAGGATGGCCATTACAATTTTAAGTTGTCTCAAAAGTTTACTTATTTTTACCTGTTCAATTTTAGATCAGGAATTTCAGGGGAGTTGAAGTGAAGCTCATCTTGCTGGGAAGCTCAGCAAGAGTAGAGAAAAGCAGCAGGTTTGGGCCTCGGCCGCTGGCATGTTTAATTATTTAATTATTTCCTCTTAAAGAGGCAGTAAAGTATTTCTGATTTTATTTAGAAGCCTCAAAAGATTAAAACAGGCTTCCCGTTGTTGTAGCTGGCTTTTCCAATTGTATACGTAAATACGCCAGTTTGGGTGAACTGAAATTGGCCCATTTAAGTATATCAATTTTTACAAAACTTTATCTTAATTTTACCAACTCTTATACTTTTAATTATAACTTACATTAGAATTCTATTAACAAGTTTTGGTACTATAATATTGTTCAGGGGAAGCATTCCCAGTTAGACATAACGTTTATTCCCAAAGAAAACATCCAGGCAAAGTTGACATGACCTCTTCATATGATATTAGCTTAAACACTTTAACGTTCATAGTCTTATTAACCTTAGTAGCCTAACTGTTGCCTCAAACAATTGCCGGTCAGGTTTTTCACTCTGATTTCTATCTCCCAACCTTTTAAAATTTTTTCAAACTGGGGTGAATAGAACAGGTTTGTCTGATGTCCTTTAATGTTGGGGGACCAACAGGGGGGTCCCTCTAGCCCATACAACCTTAAGCAGTGTTTTATTAAAACCTTTGCTTTAACTTTATTTATGTCTGTTCCATTTATCCCATTTTCCTTTTTAATAACTAGTTAAAGATGACTCTTCCCTTTCTGATTTCTCTTTGTTAACTTAATGTTTTCATTAGCACCTGTAAGACCACCACGAGAAGAAGCTGAGACCCCCAAATTTGATTAAGTTCTTAAGACTAGTCATTCTATTTTTCTTTTAATTTGGTCTTTTCATAGGTACCAATAAAATAGCTGTTTATCATGAGAGCTCTCTAAAAAGTTTCCCAACTTAAGGATCCATCGTTTGGCCATTTTTTCCCTCCGGAGTCTAAAGAGTATTGTGGCCACGTGGTGTTACAAAAGAAAATCACCCCTCTTTAGACATTGGCTTATAGCTATAGGTCGACCAGTCAGCCAAAGTTTTTCCCAAGGGGCTCTTAGGTGGAATAGATGCAGCACCTCCCATGTTAACACTTTTAAAAGGAAAGACCAACAGACAAACAACAACAAATACAAACCAGGATGCTTTCCCTCAATGCACAACAGCCACAAACGGAAGCCAAAACCAAGACCAAAACCAAAAACCAAAGTGCTTCCAGTCCCAGCTTAATCCATATCCTACACTCAGGGGTGCCCAATAAATGAAGAGCCACTACGCAGATCTTCCCAAATGAGCAAGGACAAGGGACCTCGGTTGTGCACACCCGGGGGACTTACCATAATCTGGCTGGGGCGTCTTGACTTCAAAACAAATGGAGCCCAAAAGGCTGCCAGGTACCCATTATTTCTGGCCGGGCCTGTTGGAAAAAGTTAACACAAAGACAAAAACAAAAACTACCAGCTACTTAGAAGAGACGCCTTCCCAAGCCCTGAACCTAGTTTCTTCCACCACCAAAGCAAAAGCGCCGTGGGCCAACGGCGGCGTCTGGTCAGCAGCCAGTCGCTTGGGGCTTTCCCTGAGACAAAGGGCTCAGGCAGCTGCAAGACAGCTGCAAGACAGCTTCCAAGAGAGGCCTTCAGCCAGAGGCCGGTGTGCCACAGGCAAGACATCCACCTGGGACGTTGTCCCATCTGGGTCACCAAACTGATATGGAACCTACAGTTCGCTCACTCAGCAGCAAGCTCATCTCTAACACTTGGTGTAGTGGAAGAAAGTAGGAATTTTATTATTGCACAGCGCTGAGCAAGGAGAGAGGGCAGCCAGCGCTGAAATCCTAAACTCCCAGAAAAGTTAAAAGGGTTTTATTTGGGGTTTTAGGTAGGGGAGGGGGAGCCTATGGCCTTGCTGGTCAGCAGCTTTCCCACCAGCCTGGATCTCCTTGCAGGGAGGAGATAGCGAATCCAGGTGCTTGGCCTTGGCGGTGTCTGTCTCCATGGAGGACAGCGGATTCTGGAGCAAGGAAGCCAGGGAGTAAACAGGGAAGGAGTGTTTTGGTTTTAACCCCATATACGCTGGGTGTAATGTAGGGAAACTGATATCACGATCAGCATCACAGCGGCATTTACTGTCGGAACTCCCTGCACGCGTGAGGCCAGTTACTCCGCTCTAGGGCACCCACCGCGGAAAACAAACACAAACCGGGGTGAAAGGCGAACACGTCCGTCATCCTCGACCGAGGCCGCCCTCCCTGCTCCGCACCAGGCTCCCGGCGGACCACCGGGCAGGGCACTGGCCCCACGGGGTGTGGGGGTCGGCGGCACCCTATCCCAGCGTCACCCACCCTCCCCGATCACAACCGTCTCCTCGCAGCCCTCCAGCACCCACACGGACACCCCGAGCCTGAGCAGCGCTCACAAACAACGCGCCTCCTGCCAGCGCCTCTCAAACTGTAGTCGCGCCGACCTGGGCGCAAACGCCTCAAACGTGGACGGCGACCGACACGTGACCAACGCGCGTAAACTCGAGCCGCAGGCGCCAGCTCTCTGGCTGAAGCCGGCGCGTGCGTGAGTGTGCGCATGCGCTCGCGCAGGCGTAGCCCAGGCGCGCTCCTCCCGGGGACAGTTGCCAAGCAGCTGGGCGCATGCGCCACGTGACGTCCCACAGCCCGCAGAAGGAGGTGCTGCGGCCCGAGGCCTGGGCGCGCTTGCGCAGTAGTTGGACGCGGGCGTTTCTTTCCTCCCTTTTTTTTCGAATCGGTTTTGAGGGGTAGAATCGAGTTACAAAATGGCGGCCTGGAGGGCTTTGGGCGCTGTTCCCCTGGCGGTCTCTGGCTGAGCGGACGGCTCCCTCCGTCGCTGCCGAGCACAGAGAACCGAGGCGCCCGGGGGACATGCTGTTGGAGACTCTGGGCCTGCTGACCGCCGAGTCCTCGGAGAATCTCGGCGCACCGGAAGCCACCAGGCGGGCCACCCGCCGCCGCTTCGGACCCGAGCGCCGCGGCCGCGACCTCGCACCTGCTCGCTGCGGCGCACCCGGGCTTCGCCGCGCCCACGACCCCGCGGGGGCCGCCCGGGAGGTGAGAGGCCAGCGGGCAGCGGGGAAGGGGCCCGGGCCTCGGGAGGGGACCCCGGGAGACAGCGTGGGTGTGGGGCCCGGCCTGGGTGTGGGGACCCTGGGTGTGAGGGCCCGGCCTGGGGTGGGAACCCTGGGAGGGAGCCGCGGTGTGGGGCCCCGGCCTGGGAACGAGGTGCCCGGTTATGGGTACGGCACCTGGGCCTGGAGGGATATCGTGGGAGGGAGCCTGGTTGTGGGGCCGGGAAAAGGGACCCTGGGAGGGAGCCTGTGTGTGGGGTCCTGGCCCAGGGAGGGGATCCTGGGAGGGAGCCGGGATGTGGGGTCCCGGCCGGGGGAAGGGACCCTGGGAGGGAGCCGCGATGTGGGGCCCCGGCCTGGGAAGGAGGTGCCCGGTTCTGGGTAGGGCACCCGGGCCTGGAGAGAGAGCGTGGGAGGGAGCCTGGTTGTGGGGCCGGGAAAAGGGACCCTGGGAGGGAGCCTGTGTGTGGGGTCCTGGCCCAGGGAGGGGACCCCGGGAGGGAGCCGGGGTGTGGGGCCCCGGCCCGGGCAGGGGACCCCGGGAGGGAGCCGGGGTGTGGGGCCCCGGCCCGGGCAGGGGACCCCGGGAGGGAGCCTGGGTGTGGGGCCCGGCTCGGGGAGGAGGCGCCGGGCGGGGTGCTGGGGGAAGCCGGGAGGGTGGGGCCGAATGACAGCAGCGACGCAGTCGGGGGCTGTTTGTGAAGCGGAGCTCGGGGCCGACCTGTGGGGCTGCGGTGTCCGACTTGGGTAGGGCTCGCCCGGCTGCGGGGCCCCTGCGGCCCCGAGGAGGCGGGAGGCCGGAGCGCGCAAGGGCCGGCCCGGCGTGGCCGCCTCGGCTTCCTTCCTAGCGGTGCCTCTCGGTACTCCCCTCCCTTCTCCCCTCTCTTCTCGCCCCTCTCTGCCCCTCTCTTCGCGCCCCTTCCCCGCTCTCTCGGGCCTGGCTTCGCTTTGCGGTTGCAGCCCCGGGCTGTCGGTCACGCCTCTGCTCTGTTCTGTAAGAAGCGGTTCAGAGATTCCGTTTCTGCCGGTCTCAGTCTCCGGGGTCCGCCCCCTCGTTTTCTGTTTCCTCCGGGCACCGCACCGTCGAGTGCGGTCAAATCTGTTTTCATCTTAGGGTGAGCTGTTGTCTACTGAAGTTCAAAGCCAGGGGCGGGGCAGCACCAGGGGGCAGCGACCACGTTGCTATATCGGGCACAAATAATAAAGTTTTCTCCAGTTACCATAAGTTTTAATTTCCTATCGCAATGCCTCATACCTAGAAATCGTTTCATGTTTTGGTGTGTTTTTAACGACAAGCTCAAAATTTTTTTAAGTTCTCAATTATGATAGCTAGCACATAAGACTAAATACAGGGATTTTTTGTTTCTCGAGTAATAAGAAAATTTATTGACGGAAGTGTCATGCTTTGAAATAAAATTTGGATTTGGCAATATATATTTTAAAGCCTGGCTCATAATTCAAAAATTTTTTTCCACACTACAACTTTTAAGTTTTGGAGGAAGAGTAATATTTTATAGCCTTTGCTTCTAACAAAACTTGTTTGTTAGTAATGTTTATTAACCATGTCCTCTGTTCCAGGCACTGTTCTAAGTCTTTTGTTTATCTCATTTAATTTTCACAATGCCTGCCTATTCCACGGATGAAGAAACTGCGTCACAAAAATTAAATAACTTGCCCAAGGTCTCTAGCAGGAAAATGGCAAAACTGGGACGCCAGCGTCTTGTAGTACTTCCTCAAATATGTGGTGCCCAGATCGCTGATTCAGCATCTGCCAGAACACCTCCCAGGAGATGGGCAGGTTTGGGGCGCTTGGGGTGGGTCAGTGAACAAAGATCCCTGCCCTCTGTCAGGTCGCTGGTTCAGAAATCCTGTGGGATATGGCATCAGCACCGTTAATTTGGGTCATTTTACTATGCCAGTTATCTCTTCAGTTGTGGGTATGAGTTAGATGTTAAAATTTTACTCTTTTTACTGTTTTGCACTTTCAGTTCCACCCCTTTTTGCCAGTTAATCCTAATAACTGTTAAGTTGTTAAGTTAATAGTTAATAACAAAAATGACTATTTAAATTTCTCACCTCTTCTGCCCTCTGGTGGAGGTGTTAGCTACTGAATAGGAAGGAAGTCCAAGCCAGCCCCTGGCCTGTGAAGGGTTCAGATTCAGTAAGGAACCACGTGTCTTAACAGTCCCTTGTTTGTGTGACAAAGAGTAATAGCAAAACTTGACCAGGTGTTTGGAGGGGAGACAGTAAAAGAGGGGATTCACAGGTAATGGCTGAAAAGCATATTTGTTAATTCTCATACTTTATGTTTTAGAATCTTAGACTTTGAAACCATTTATTCTATAATTAGGAAAAAAAAGCGCATACTTGAAAAATAAGGAAAAGTCAGACATTATTAAAAGCTGAAAAGCCCCTATGTAATTAGCTCTAGAGGGGTCACATTTTGGAGGACTTTGGAATGTCAGCGTTTGAATTTTATTTGTAGATACTGAAGAGCAGTAGGTGATGTCTAAGTTTGTATCTTGTGACCGTGAAGTTCTAGGAACTTAGTGTGGTGGGCTGTGCTGTTGAGGGCAAACAAGAGGGGAAAGGCAATCAAAAGGAGTCTAGGTGAGGTTCCCTAGCCTTGGCTAGTGCCCCAAACGGATCGATAACTTCCTGGGCAAGATGAGCCACGGAGGAGAGGGAGCTTTTTTGGTCCATTTACCTGGTGAGTTAGGGAGGAAGCAGCATGACGCTCACAGGGGAGCTCTTCCTTCATTGTTTTTGGGTTTTGTTTTTTATAGCAAAGGATATGTTAAGATCAGAAAACAAAGTGCAAATTTTCGGGGACAAGTACAAGCGCACTCTTTGGGTAGATCCTCGTATGCGCACTGCAGAGATGGTACTCTTGGTGCCCCAGCTGCTATTCTTCCCCGTAGTACCATGGTTTTTGAGGAGTTGAGCCGCTGGCTTATTTTTCAAGGGTTATAAATTCTCAGAATGTTAACATATTACATAGTAATCACATATTGAATTTTTAACTGATGTCCAAGTTTAGTAAACAATTTAAGGTAATTAAATGTTCAATTTTGGGAAATGTATTTCTGTCACCTGTCTGTAGCCTACAGAGGAGTACTGTTGTGAAGGTGTTTCCATGCATATTAAGATTCTTACCTGAGGATGAACTTGTTACCTGGATCATCTTAAGGAGAATTTTAAGTATGAAAAATGTGTAGCAAGACTGTAAGTGTAATTTGCATAGAATAAGTTAGTTAAGCACTTGTTGATTATATATACAGTACCAAAGAGTTCAGATTTAAAAATAAGGTTTCCTTTTAATTTTTTTCAAATGAAGTTGGTTTAGTGTTGTTCGGAAAGACTGCCAGCGTTCCTTAGGAGACCTCTGCTGCCGCCTCACTTAATTCTTCAGTGGACGTGTAAGACTGGGAGCCAACAACGTCATTGTAAAGTTCTGTTTAAAGCAGTTCCCACTGGTGTCAGGAATGTTTTTGTCTCATTTCATGCTACAGTGAATTGTAAAAGTTCTTTGTAAAAGTTATATCTTTGTCTAGAAAAGTACGCTTTTTGCTTATGACCTGTTTACTTTTAACTTAGGTTCAAAAACATGGCCAAAAGAATTGCCGAGAAGGAATTGACAGATAGGAATTGGGATCAAGAAGATGAAGCAGAAGAGGTAAAAAGCAGTTCCTTAAGAATGATTTCCTGCTGCTTCTAAATTTTAAATTCATTTTGGGGCTCCTCATGAAGACTTTGTGGTAAAAATAAAAGGCCTTTTTAAAGAACATCCTGAACAGGAAATAGCATGTTTTTCTGTGACGCACTTAGTATAGAAATTTATTAATTGCGTTTGGGTGTGCTTTTGCACTAGCATCTGTTCTCTAAATAGCCTCCTTTGTGGAAGCACCTTCCTCCTGACTTTGATATCTACTTGCAGTCCATTCTCTAACCCATGGTTCTAGTCATGAATGAGGGTGAGTTGAATGCTCTAGTCGTGAACTTAACACAGTGCCAGTGATCAGACTTGAAACTGGCACACCACCATCTCCATCTGCCATACCCACAATTTTAGATTTCACAGGATCGAGGTCACTTCCTGTACTCTGATGCTTCTTGGAGGCCTGCTTTATTTCATGTGCTTATAGATCTGAGGCACCCCCCCCCCCCCAACAATTGCATTAATAGGAATAGAATTGAGATTGGCCTAGTTTCTTTTCTAACAAAGTAAAAATGGTGTTCCCTGAGGAAATGTTTTAGATCTTCTCTCGCAGAGTAAAGCACAGCTGCGTTTCCAGTGCCTCGTCAGCAGGTAACTAAGGGAGTCTGTAGCCAAGTCAGCTTTCAAGTTAATAGAATAGTGCTATGTACAAACAAAATTAAAGAATATGCCACAGTGTTTGCAAGCTTATTCCTATGCTGCTGTCTTCCTTCTTTCTGAATCTATTTTCCTTTAAAAATATTTCTGTACTAATATGTTTAGGGAAACCAACATCACAAGTATGTTAATATTTTGACAGGGCTTTTAACATTGCTAACTGACGTGGTGCTTTGGTAGTTGAAAAGCTAAGTTTTTACCAGGTCTTACACACAGTTACGTTCTGGGCCTAGTAAGATTTAGACTACCATGTAATGATTGACATTAAAATATTCTAGGAGTGAAGGAACTTCCATTTGGATAGATTCTAACAAAATGAGTGTGGAAGGATATTACATTTAACTTAGGGCAAGGGTAGCCAAATGGTCCTTTCTGTGGGTATAGAGCTCTCTCTAAGTTTAACATTATTTGAAATAACGATGGATGAGAGCTTTTTACAGAAAATATTTTATACCAGCCCTGGAGGGTAAAAGAAAGGTGGAAATAAAGCCAAAGGTCTCCAGCAGACCCCATTGTGGACGTGGCACTTTCACATCCCGTGGAGGCGGTAGCATCCATCAGGGCCACCTGAGAGTCCCAGGTGCCTCAGGGGGCTTTTGCGTGATGGGCAAATGGTCAGGGCTCTTCTTAAAAATAATGTATGTGTTACAAATATAAAATTTGTTTTTTTAAAACTGTAGTGGTAAGATATTAGATTTGGACGTCGGTTTCAGAGCTGGCTCCACTACCAACTATTCATGACCTTTAAAGCACCTTCCAACTTTTGGAGAATAGGTTTTGCTTCTTAAAGGAAACTGAAGTTTTATTCTATGTTTTGTTAATATCCTTGAATATTTCAAAGGTTTGAAGAATTGGTCCTGAATAGTCTTGCATCAGTTTTGATGGTCTTAGTCTTGTCAAAACTTGGTGCATGCACTCTTCTCTCAGGATGGTGATTCAAAGCTTAAATTTATAGATTCTGGAACAGTTCTGATTCATCTAACGAGCATTGGAATTCACAAGATAATAAACATAAACTCCTTTAACAAGCCCTCTCCATAATCTGTGTTACCAGTATTAACAGTACTTTAAAAGCAGCAGATATTAGATAAGTGTCTGGTCTCATCTTTTTGTTCGGCGTTTTCTCTCCTTTTTGGCCTCATCTTACTGCTGTTTAATTTGTACGCTTCTGCAGGTGGGAACATTCTCGGTCGCCAGTGAGGAAGTGTTGAAGAATAGAGCTATAAAGAAAGCAAAGCGTAGAAATGTTGGATTTGAAGTGAGTGTTTTCTTACAGCTTTTGATACTAAACACTAATTTGATTTCTGAGTTGCAGAGCATTTTCACCTCTGGGAGCAATCAGATCAATAAATGCTTTTTAAAACACTTGGTCCACTTGTGAAAATCCTTGGTGTAGACCATGGGAGATAGAAAAAAATAATAAATATGAGATCTGTACCTTAAAGGGAGCCTATCCAGTTGCAGAAATAGAGACAAATTTGAGTTGAGTGACAGTGTGAAGAGATAAACAGGTAGAGTGATACAAAAGGCGAGAGAAGGGGGTGTCGGGCAGGGCTGCAGAAGGGAAACGTAAGATGCTCTCAGAGTCTACCTACCCCCCGGGATGAGGTGTGGTAGGGGAATCCTTTCAGTGTAAGGAAGCATTTCACAGGTTGGTGTTCTTCCTGGCGCAGTATAGTGAAATGTTTCATTCCTGTGTTCAGAGGGATAAAAGATGAGTTGTAACTCGTGAATTGGAATCATGTGGTCAGCATTCAGCAATCCCTCCACATTAACAACGCGCCACCAGTACAAGCCTCAGTGCTCAAGTACATTCCAGATCCGTGAATGCTGTCTTGGTGGCCTGGACATCTGCTGTCGGGCAGGAGAAGCCTGTTGGAACATCCTGGGTGGCAGCTTTGGAGTAAACCTACACAACTATACCTTCTGCGGTGGCTCTGAGCAGTTTTTTTTATTCCATATTCTTTTCATTCTTAAGACTGGTGACTATTTGGATGTAGGTGTTAAGCCAAGTGATATTTGATGGCTCTTTCATGGGGAAGATAGGGGGAAAGAGACAACTTATTCAGGGAGGAAATGATTGGTTTCGTTTTGGAAATGTATTTTAAGGGCCTGTGGGGTGGAGTTCCCTAGAAGACCACTGGGTATACTGGTTGGCTAGTCAGGACAGGAATTGGAGTGAGAGGTCGGTGTTGCTCTGGGAGCTTTCACGTAAAGGAAGTTGAAGCCATGGGGGCAGAGGAGAAGAGGCATGAGAGTGGGAGCTCGTGATGAAGAAGGAGAAGCCGAAAGCAGACGGTCTCAGGACTGGTCCAGCTGTTGGATGAATGGAGGTGAAGAAGTGGAAACAGTGTGGACAATCCAAACTTAGCCAAAGGGGAGAGAGAGAGGCTGGGAGTCCTCAGGCTGTGAAAGGATATGAGCTGTATATGGGTAAGTGAAACCCACATACAATTTTAGCTGTACCTTTTAGCATCAGGTTTCCATTGGAACCTGTATATTAGAGAAACTAAATGTTGTATCATCCACTTAAATGCTGAAATGTGGCTTTTCCCATGTAGTGGGTTTGTTTGTTCATTTGAGAGATCTGCTAGTCACTGGAGATACGTAGGTGGGTAAAACAGACCAGACTCTCCCTGCTTCAGGGAACTTACATCCTAATGATGGAAGAGACACAGACACGTATTTAATATTTATTTTTCTCCATAAGTGCCGTGAAGAAAAATAAAACAAGTGAGGGAGATTGGAGGACACAGGGATGTTGTCGTTCCCGTGGATCTCAAGTGGATATCTTTTCATTTAATTTTTACTTTCATTTTTCTGAATGTCCCTCATTCCCTTTTTTTTAAACCAGTGATTCTTGATTTTTTGTGATGATTCTAGGGCCAGTTTACTCTCAGCAGTTTCCAAAATAGCTGTAAATACCATGTGGCTTTTTTTTTTTTTTTTTTAAAGATTTTACTTTTTCCTTTTTCTCCCCAAAGCCCCCCGGTACATAGTTGTGTATTCTTCGTTGTGGGTCCTTCTAGTTGTGGCATGTGGGACGCTGCCTCAGCGTGCTCTGATGAGCAGTGCCATGTCCGTGCCCAGGATTCGAACCAACGAAACACTGGGCCGCCTGCAGCAGAGCGCGCAAACTTAACCACTCGGCCACGGGGCCAGCCCCAAATACCATGTGGCTTTTAAATCTAGTGCAAAATAAAAGGCTCTGAAGAGCCACTTGCAGCCTTGTAGTTTGTCCGTGAATCTTGTTATAAAATGATAGCTGTCAGTTTGTTGTATTTTGGATTTTGAATCATCAAAAATCAAATTTGGAGCATCAGAACCTAAGCTATATTTATTATATGCATTAAAATTGATACAAGTTAACATTTTGCATTCTTTCCCTAATTTTATTACCATAAGCATATCAGTAGTCAGTAACCATCTGAAATTCTGTAGACATGATTGACACTTCCGTGTTATTTGAAAACTGTAATAGTACTAGGCTAGCTGGCCCATTTAGAAAATGAAGAGTTTCGGTTTGAGTAAGTTTTTTGCGAGACCGTGATTATAACTCCTTTATGGGGGAGCTTAAGGTCATGCGCTCTCTCGGATGTGCTGAAGCGTGTGTCCTGCCGTGATGGATTTTTGGGACTGTTTCCTGGAGCCTCCTTGGGTCTTGGTCTGAGAAGCAGGTCACCTCCCTGTGGTGTAACCATGACTTTGAATGAAAAAAAGACCTTAGAGAAGTTGTAGGGACTCGAGCAAAGCACTGTAAACCAAGGAACCTTTCTCCAAAAGTTCCCAGAGGCGGAGGGCAGCTTTAGAATTTCATGAGGAACGCCAGACGTTTTCAGAGTATCCTGGGTTAGGGATGTGGGAAAGCTAGCAGCAGTGGGCAAGGCCTACTAGAAAAACCTTGCTAGAGAAAGCAGCAAGGAAACTGAGACTAAAGCGTCGCCTCTGGATCTCTCAACTAACAGAAATCTAGATTTGAGACGCATTCAACTTCGGGGGTTTCTGTAGGCTGAAAGCTACAGAAGTTCTTAGGAAGTTATAGTTAAACGGGTAAAATACTTTTAGTTAACCTAACTTGATGTTTCTACAACTTCCTTAGGCAAATGATCTTTAACTGAGTGGTATATGAAAACTCTTTCACTTGGGGTTTAGTTGTGTTGAGAATGTGTTTTTAGTTATTATTCTGAGGCTGGGTAGTGGGTATGTGAATTTCTTGCATTAGTCTTTTTTATCTTTATATGTTAAATGTTTTTTAAAATCCACTGCACTGTAAATTATGACTGTCCTTCCTGGCTATTTCAGGAAGGCAGCTCTGAATTGCAAAGCCGTCATTAGGAATAAAGTCTATCTCGTTCCTATTTCTGCTTGTGCTGACAGGTTCCATTAATGCTGGTTGCCTAAGGATCCTAGGTGCTATTTAGCCAAGATAATAATTGTCACTCACTCGCTTATTTGGCGATAAAAAGCAGAGTTAGCTAATGTCTGCTCTTTCTTTATATTTCAGTCTGATAGTGGAGGGGCCTTCAAAGGTTTTAAAGGTTTGTTTGTACCTTCTGGAGGAGGCGGGTTTTCTGGATTTGGTAGTGGTGCTGGAGGGAAGCCTTTGGAAGGACTGTCCAATGGAAACAGCGTAACTGGTGCCCCTCCCTTCTCCAGTGCAAGGGCAGCAGCCGAGACCAAGGCAGCCTTTGGTAAGTACGTTCCCTCCCCTAGGCACACCTGTAAGTAAAATCTATGAAAGCTAACTGTCCAGAGATGTTTTTCTTGTGCTTACCCTGGGCCCTGAAACTATGTGAGCAAAACAGGATAATAATGAAAAGGATGGAAATGAGGGAGATGTTGGCTGTTTACAGAGTAAGTGGGCAGAGCAGAGGCTTTTGAGCCAAAATAGACCTAGATTCTCTTCTCAGCTCTGCCAGTTACCAGCTCTATGACTTTGGTAAAGTTCCTTGACCTCTGAACATCCAAATCTTCAGCTATGAAATGTGAGTGACCCTCAGAATTGACTTAAGGGTCAAAGGGGAGGAGGAAGCTCGTAGCCGCCCCTCTGTAAAGGCCTTCCTCCGCATCCCCACATTCAGTGAGCATGTACCAAGGACTTCCTGTGTGCCGCACGGCTGCTGGGAGCTTAGTGGTCCTCCCAGTCTAGCTTTATCTTGCCCAGGATGTGTTGATTACCTGATCCTGTTTTGAGGCAGTTAGTTAAGAACTCTTGGGGGCTTGCCCAGTGGTGTAGTGGTTGAGTTCACGTGCTCTGCTTTGGCAGCCTGGGGTTCGCCGGTTCGGATCCCGGGTGCGGACATGGCACTGCTTGGCAAGCCATGCTGTGGTAGGCATCCCACATATAAAGTAGAGGAAGATGGGCACGCATGCTAGCTCAGGGCCAGTCTTCCTCAGCAAAACGAGGAGGATTGGCAGCAGATGTTAGCTCAGGGCTAATCTTCCTCGGAAAAAAAAGAACTTTGGGGATTAGCAACAGAGAATGGGATCATGGGTTAAAATCTTCAGTTCTTGGAAATAATCCTGACTGGTAGGATTGTATTTAGCTAGTTATTCTAAAGGTATATACTGTTTCATTTTAATTAGACTGGTTAATTAGAATGGTTAGTCTGATTAAGATAAGCACTTCCTGTTAAACTTTTAACTACATTAATATATGTTCATCCTTATATGATAGAATATTTTGACAGTTCTGTGTGAAATGGGCATCCTTTTGAAGAAAAATATTTTAGAATTGTAGAGGTTTAACACAAGCGTATAATAGATGCTGTTCCTATTTAAGGTTTGATTTGATTTTTGTGATAACCAGTTCCTGCATATTAGATGTGCTCATACTTCTTGAACTGTCAAAAAAATGGGATACAATAGAAGCAGAAAATATGAAGACAGAGTGGCATAGAAATCTAGATGATTTAATCCAATCAATTTCTAAATAAATTCTTACAACTGTAATTTCCTATAGGATCTATTGCCGCAAATGGCCCTACCTCCTTGGTTGATAAAAAGATTTCGAATCCCAAAACTAACGGCGACAGCCAGCAGCCTTCCTCCTCTGGCCTTACCTCGAGTGCAGCCCCTGTCGGGAATGCCTATCACAAGCAGCTGGCTGCCTTAAACTGCTCTGTTCGGGATTGGATAGTGAAGCACGTGAACACAAACCCGCTCTGCGATCTGACACCCATCTTTAAAGACTATGAGAAATACTTAGCCAGTATTGAGCAGCAACATGGGAACAGTGGCAGCAGTAATTCTGAAAGTGAAGCTAACAAAATGTCAGTTGAAACACAGTCTCCTTCCCTCTTTGGTTCAACAAAATTACAGCAAGAGTCACCATTTCTGTTTCATGGCAACAAAACAGAGGATACATCTGCAAAGAAGCTGGAGGCTGTGTCTGAAAAGAAAACGGACCCATCACTAGGAGCAACAAGTGCCTCATTTAATTTCGGCAAGAAAGTTGATAGTTCTATTTTGGGCTCATTAAACTCTGGCCCCTTGACTGGATTTTCATTTTCTTCTGGAAACTCCAGTTTATTTGGCAAAGATAGTACCCAGAATAAACCAGTTCCTTCGCCATTTTCCGCTAAAACACTGGAGAGCCCGGCAGAAGGTGGTAGTAATGAATGCAAAGGTAAACCACAAAGCTTCTCCTTGTGAGTCTGTTTTAGATTTGTGTAAGTCATGCTTAGTGGGAAAGCCCAGGCTTGTGACTGAGGTGGATTTGGATCACCGTTTCTCCATTTTCTCGATGTGTGATCCTGGACAGAGTTGATTAGCTTCTTGGAGTCTCTGTTTCTTTATTCGTAAAGTGGAGTAAGACCTGTTTTGTAGGCGATTATAAAGATTGAGACTATAAAAACATCTGGCATAGTGACTTTGAGGACTGTCAAACACATGGCTTTGCATGTTAAAAAAAGTGAATTAACATTTTTTGAAAGCTGTGTTTTATTGAAAAAGTTCATGAATATCCACTGAACTGTTTGTATTTAGGAGATTTGATCATAAAGTCGCATGGCAAAACAGTATTCTCCTATAAATAAAAAAGGCAGACTTTTCATAGCCATGGGGACCAAATGGACGGTGCTTTCTCAAGACACGTCTGGATTGCAGCCACCTTTCCTGAAGTCTCTGGTGTGTGTGGGGTCAGTGCCCCGAGCCAGGCCTTAGTCCCAGTCCCTCCAGGCCTTCGGTGGTTCTTAGCTCTCTGAAAAGAAGGGTACTGTCATAATCCCTGTCCATCACATGGTGGTTGTGAACAAATAATGGCTGTGAAGATGCTTGTGAGCAGTTAAAAGTACATCTCTCAGGGCTGGCCCCATAGGGTAGTGGTTAAGTTCACACTTTCCTCTGGCGGCCTGGGTTCATGGGTTTGGATCCTGCGCATGGACGCACACCACTCGTCAGCCATGCTGTGGCAGAGACCCATTTACAAAATGGAGGAAGACTGGGGGACTAGCCTCGTGGCCGAGTGGGTAAAGTTCACACGCTCCACTTTGGCAGCCTGGGATTCACAGGTTCGGATCCTGGGTGCAGACCTCCTCCACTCATCAGCCACGCTGTGGAGGCATCCCACATGCCAAGTAGAGGAAGATCGGCACAGGTGTTAGCTCAGGGCCACTCTTCCTCAAGTAGAAAAAGAGGAGGATTGGCAATGGCAGATCTTCCTAACACCCAAAAAAAGAGGAAGATTGGCACACATTAGCTCAGGGCGAATCTTCCTTGGGAAAAAAAAATACATCTCTCAGGAGCTATCACATTAATCCTTGAGAATGAAAACTACAGTTCCCAATTTGCCACTGAAGAGTATGTTTCTTACAGGGAGTTAAGCCTCCATTCCTTTTCTGTCCTGCCCTAGCTTCAAGTGTGTCCTCAGGCAGGGGCCCTCCAGGGCAAAGCATAGACTAAAGAGCTCCTCTTTTATTTCTTCTCTGCCCTAAGTAAGACGGATGGAGTGTGGAGTGTGTCCTGGTCTTAGGGCAGTCACAGGGACAGGGAAGCCACAGCTTGTCCCCGGGAAGTTGAACTTGAATTGTCTCCACTCAGCAGGCTGCCCGTCAACATTAAGCGGTTATTCCTTAGCGTAGGATCATCGTGTTTTATACAGCAGAAAGAGCTTGTTCAGGTAGTACCAGCCTCGGGGCTGCCCTGCAGAGGCTGACGGAGGAGTCCCTTCTGGAAATGTAAATCTTGGGTTTTGAATTGCTTGAGCATCAGAATTATTTTTCTTAGAGTTGCTTTTTAATGTCGTGAGTTTCACGCAGCCGTGTCCGAAGTGTCTTAGGTCTCCCTGTGGTTGGAGCTGGCGTAAGTGGCAGCTGTGTCCCACCTGGTCAGGGAGGCACCGTGGGACCAGAGCGTCAAGGGGCCATTCAGACGGAGCTTGAGTTACTTAGACTTGGCTTTGGAGTGATTTCTCTGACAACTTTCCCTGTAAAAAATTTTATTGACTTTCCTCATCTTTGGTCATTGCTCATATTGATTAGTCCTTGGCATGGTGTGGACACGGTCACAGGAACATTTGGGGATGAAGTGAGAAGCCTATCGGAGATGTTGATTTTCCACTGGGTAATCTGAGTATTTATGAGTAGTGACTGATTATTTTTCTCTAAAAGTTGGCTGTACACTGAATCGTAAGCATGGACATTTTTCCATTCCAAAGCTTTCTGCAAATTACCATTTAGTTTAGAAAAGAAGTATGTTCCCATTAAAAATGATTGTTTTTCACAAAAATTAAATTAAATTAAAATTAAATTAATTAAAATCCAGGGAGCACCTCCCCACTCCATAAAGTTTGATGTGTGCTTTCAGTTTCTCTGTCAGCTCACATGGGATTTTTAGGCTGAGGTGGGGTGGAGGGTAGATAACAAACTTCTTTTATCATATTTTCGTGCTCTTGATTTGAATTTTATTGAGTTAGTGTTGTTTTTATAAAAGGTGGTGATGAAGAAGAGAATGATGAGCCGCCCAAAGTAGTAGTTACTGAAGTAAAAGAAGAAGATGCTTTTTACTCCAAAAAGTAAGTAAGAGTCAGGAACCCACTTGGTGACCGTGTTTTCAGAGATGTGGAAGGAGGTCCTGGCTGAGAGTGTGGGGGTGACGTTGTCCCTGCTGAATTTACTGAGCATCCCGCCTGGGCTCAGGCCTTTCCTGCTCTTTGAACTGGAACAAGAATTCTTGGCCTGTTTATTTAAAAACAAATGGATTCTAGAGGTTTCCTACTGGGCATATCCCACTCTATTCTGTTAATATAGCTCTTGTGCTTTTAAAGTGCTTTAGAGTCAGGCTTTTCTCTGATCTTCCCACCCCCATCTCATCTCATACTTCTCTCCCTTTCTTTGTCTCCTTTCTTCTCTTCCCCTCCTTTCCCCACAAAGAAAGCCACCTGGGCACTGACCTCAGGTTTGGTTTTACTTCCGCTCCTAATCAGGAGGCATCTCTGATCCCTTCCTGGAGACCTGGTTGGCCTTCGTGGATTTTCTCACAGCCAGAAAGTTCTGCCTGGTAACCATCCCTTTCCGTTAAGGATGTAGAAACACTTTCTCTTCCCCCCAGTGATGAGAGCTGTTTTGTTTTATTTTTGTTCCTAAGTGAGAGCTGCTGCTTTCAGAAGAAAACTAAAGGGAAAATTTGAATTATCTCCACTCTCTCAGTGAAATGAAATTAGTAGTGTTTAGTACAAAGATATTTACAGAAAAACATTTGTGCCTTAGACGTTTTCCTGGATGTGTTTTTCTAATAGAAAAATTTCAGACTGAGTCAGCAGTTTTCATGACATAAATCACCATGTCCTGTGAGATTCCCAAGTGTCATTTTATTTTTGAGAACTTTTAAAAGAGGCCAACAATTTATTTTGCTTATTTTAAAGTTGAATTATGCACATGACATAAAGGAGTGGCCCTGACCTAAGGTTTTTTCCTAATCAGAATAAATCAAAGGAGTAGGCAGGGGTTTTGATTTGTTTATCAATAACCTGAGGAGATGTGTGACACAGAGGCCGGGAAGACCGCCGATGACGTTGTTAGTTAGGCCTTGCTTAAGAATGTTTTCCAGATTTATCTCAGTGTCGTAGGAGGTCACAAATGGAAGGAGTCCTGAAGAGAATTCAAAAATAAGAAATAGGGGGGAAAGGGCGGGAGGGTTGGGGACAGAGTGCTTGTCCTGTATTTGTTCCTGCCCTTAAAGGACAGGGTCACCTCTGGTGCTCAGGGCCAGAGGAGCACAGCAGAGGGTACGGGGTGCTCGGCTGTGACTCGGACAGGTCTAAGAGACAGTTTCAGAAAGTAGTGTTGGAAAACGTTTATAACGATAGGGAGTTTATAATAAAAACTTGAAACCATAGGGAGGGGTTTTAGAATATCTAACCAGATTATCTTACTCTGGTTGTGGCCAGATCCAATCTGGATCAATAAAAGATTATTGTCCTGAAGCTCCCGCTGCTCTCGTTTAGTTCAGATTTTTCCACACAAGTGTGAACAGTGGTTGTTAGAAAACTGTGTGTGCCCTGATTTGTCCTGGAGTGTCTGATCCTACCTATTGTTTTTTTTTTTCATAGGTGTAAACTATTTTACAAGAAAGACAATGAATTTAAAGAGAAGGGCGTAGGTACTCTGCATTTAAAACCTACAGCGAATCAGAAGACACAGCTTTTAGTGCGGGCAGACACCAATTTAGGTGGGTACCTTTTTTCAGGTGGCACAAAATAACCGTAATCACATAGTATATAAGAGCCTTTCGCCTTGCTGATTTTACTCATTGAGATTTTCAAGTATATTGATGTGTTTTTGGAATGGAATAGAGATGGTTCAAGTCAAATTCATCCTATACTGACTGATTATTTATGGATTTAGTTGAGTACCGGGATATAGGGTGTAAGAAAATGTGGGTGTGTTAAAAGCTATAGCCAAGAAGTAACTAACATGGTTTTCATTTCCCTTTGTGTTAGAAATGTGACCGAGAAGCTATAGGTAAATTGGATGGTTTAATAAACACAGAAGGGGAAGTAACCATTTAAGGGAATGCATTTTATGTAGCAAATAATCATTAACACATTGCTGTCCGCCCCTCACCCCACCCGCCAGCTTTACTCTGACGCAGTCCACTGGAGGAGGGCTTAGTGCCTGCCCGACCTGGGGGCCAGGTCTGAGAGGAAGTGGTTGGTAGTGGTAGGCCACACCAGGCCAGGTCACAGAGACACTTCTGTGAGGCTTTTTTCTTTCTTCGGGGCCTAAGTTGTGATGTCTGTCTTACCCAGCGAGCTGTGCTGGCCTCTCCAACAGATGGTTCTTTGCTGACCATTCTTTGTTCAAATGACACAGTGAAGACTCCAGGTCATACGAGCGTGTCCTCCTTTAGCGCAAGAACGCACAGGCTGTTGCCTGTTCGGGATGCTGGTGTGGCTGTAGACTCGGGCAGGCGGGAGGGCACAAGGCAGTCCCTCCGCAGTAAGGCGGAGTGCAGGTCCTGCCGGAGGCCTCACGGCCCTCTCTCGGGAACACCGTGCTGGTGTCTGTGTCAGGGAACCACTGCCCTTTTTTATGACACTCCTGATGGATCCCAATTTTAGATCTGTTAATTTTAAGTTGCTTCGATCTTTAGTATTTGGCATATTAAAGCTGTAGTTTAATAGAGCTCTAGTTTGCATGACTTTGCTGTATTTTGTCCTTTGTTTAAATGCAGGCAACATATTGCTGAATGTTCTGGTCCCACCCAATATGCCATGTGCCCGAACAGGGAAAAACAACGTACTTATTGTCTGTGTTCCAAATCCTCCCGTCGATGAGAAGAACGCCACCATCCCAGTTACCATGTTAATTCGGGTGAAAACGAGCGAGGATGCAGATGAGTTGCACAACATTTTACTGGAGAAAAAGGACGTCTGAACACACTTCAGCTGAGGAACTGTCGCCAAGTTGCTGCTTCCCCCACTGCCCCTTAAACTTAGTCAGTTTTTCTTCTTTCTTTGACATTCTAAGAACTTATAGATAACTTAAAACTTTTGTGAGGAAGATTAATATGGCCAATAAAACCTTTAATGTTAAGTGTCAAGAAACTGTATTCTCCCTTCTCAAGAACTGTCTAATGTGTAAAATACATTTGAAAGAAATTTTTTGGAAGATTTTTAATGTTCATTTGTTAAACCAACCACAAGTGATTTCTTAATGGACTGCGATCAGGGTATCAATTCGATTTCCCACAGGCTCCTCCAGTCCGTGCATTTGGGGTGTGCCGGGCCGGCTGGCTGCGAGAGCCACGCTCTGCTTCCCTGTGAACCGTGCGGCCGCGCTCTCGCTCTCGCCGGGATGATGTTTCTTTGCTTTATTTTATTAAGTGTTATTTTAAAGCAGAAATGTGAGTACTCCGTGTTTGCCTCCAGCATGGGAGTCGTTAGCTCTTGACTGGTGAGGGTGGCCTCGAACCCTGTGGCTGCTTCACTGGGGTTCAGGAACAGCTTTTTCATTTGAAGAGCAAACAAGGAGCTTGTAGCTTGGTTTTGTGGATTTGGTTTGTAGTTTTACTCATGAGGTGCTGTCACTTCTCTGTGCCCCTAGAGACACACGGGGCAGAGGGGGATTGGCAGGAATGAGGTTTAAAAGCACAAATTTGGTAGCTGTCGACCATGGACAGTAAACCCTTACAAAAACTAAAGTTAGGTCACCGTGGAGCTGCAGCAGGGAGAGAATGCACTCAGTTCGTTCCCGCGGCGGCCCCCATGGATCTCAGAACTGCCGACGACGAGAGGGCAGGCGGAGGGGCTTTACCGCGCCGAGTGCTGCGAGTCGGCCAGGAGCACGCAAGGAGGGGATGGAAGAGAAAGCGGAATGTTCCCGTGGACTGTGGACGGCAGTGCATTCCACGGTCCAGAGCTGAGATTTCCATTTGCTTTTTTAAGAGTGAGACACTCAGTGTGCCCGTTTGGAAGGGAGCCGTGGTCGTGCACGGAAGTCTCCACGTCACTTCATAGCTGGCAGGCGGCCAGCACCGCATTCTTTGAAGACTCTGGGTACCTGAGTTAGATGCAGATTGTAACGTTTAGACGTCCACTTTCATTCCTCATGACTCTCTCAGTGCTGGTGCCAGGCGCTCTTGTTTGAAGGCTCAGGGGCCGTGCCTGAGGGCTCATACTTGTATATTCTGACCTGCAGTGCATAATGTCTTCTGACTTAGAAAAGAGTGGTCAAAGTCATTGCAGATAGTGCGGTTGCTTTTTTTAAAAAAAACGAAGCTACAACTTTTAGATGTGAAGGGGGCGGGGAAGCTTTTGTGATTAAATATGTTGACTCTGAAATACTTGAGAGAAGGCAGTGGGGCCGGTGTTTGTCCAGAGGTTCTTGTACCACTGATCCCAGTTTTCTGATTCCACTGGGAGAACTGGGCCCAGTGTGTGACTTTGGATAAATGCACGTGGAGAGGAGTGCTTGCGTTCATACAGAATGTGGGCAGACCCAGCTGCGCTCTGAGACCTGGGGAGGAAGTGGCAATCATTGTTGCATTTACTTTTTAGAATTGAGACTATTGGTGAGTGTGTGACACATGACTTAGAGTGAGCAAGTGGTTGATGGTGTTACAGTAATCCTGGCCCTGCCCTGTTCGCTTTAGGTGTATCCGGCTGGTGCAAGGCTGAGGAAAGGAGGGGAACAGCTTTCACTGTTACGGCTCAGTCACACAGGCTCCCATGGTCCCAGCCAGAACAGGGACCTTCAGTCTTCCTGGCGGCTTACTTTGTCAGCCCCGGCCTGTGTGGTGGGATGTTCGCATTGGCGTGGAGAGGTCAGGATTAGATTACCTTTTACCCACCTGTAAAAACAGTTTCTCTCTCTTTAAGTTAGTGCATATGCCTGGCTTTCTTTTTTCTAACATTCCCAGCAAATTCTTGCTGCTAAGACTGGCGCTGTTGAAGTGAAAATTACGGGGAGACTGATGTGTGTATCCTAACTCAGAATGTGTCATTTCCTCAGAATCATTCTTATGCTTTAGGAACTTGTTGGTCTCTGCTTTAATTGTGTATTAGGATAAAAGAGCCTAAGTATATGTAGATTTTACCGTAAAATCTAGATTCTTGTGTGTGACTTCGGGGAACAGGCCCCCTCGGCCTCCAGAGGGCTTACCTTTTCTTCCCCACTGTATTAACTGCTAAATTCTGTGCCAAGAGTTTAGTTAGAGTTATTTTTAACGAAGTATTAGAAATTAGGCTTTAAAATGTTTAATGTGACTGAAATTTTCATCTTTAGTTTGAGGATCTATGAGGTGTATCAGATACGTGGCCTAAAGTGAGCTGTGTATATCTCTAATTCTAAATCTGATTGTGTTGCATCTTGACAAATACTGAGTATCCCAGTGGCCTTTTTTTTTTTTAACTCATGTGTGTCCATCTTACTCTTTTGAGCATTCCCAGTAAGCAAAAAATGGAGTGTTATGCTGTCTCCATCATTAGTGCTACAGACTGAAAAATGCGTGCCCAGTTTTTAAAGTTCAGATTGTGTTTTCCATGGAAGGACAAGTCTGACTGTTTGTGGACTGATTTTCTTGAAAAGGATTATTGTTTTATAATTCTAAATCATATTTTTGACATGCTGCATGCCAAAAGTATCTACCTGGTCTGGGGTAGAGGAAGAAACTAATACTTCACCTTACTATTAGAGTTCAAAACAAGTTTTCACGGAGAAAGCCTTTTGGGTTTAGTTTTAAAGGTAAACAAGTTTGTTTTTGAGCATTTGTCAGTTATTCTTACATTTCAGAACAGTCAGAATGCAAGCCCAGTGCACTTGAAGACTTTGCAGACTAAATGGCTCACTCCCAAACCCGAGTATCCGTTCTCATTCTGGAAGTGAGAATTTTAGGTAGAAACTGGTCCCTCCTTGCAGTCCTGTGCTCTGAGCACAAGGCGCTGGGGGCCTCGGCCCGCGCACGCACCGAGGACTAGCTGCACACGCAGCTGTGGCGGAGCCGGAAACTTCTTAGCAATCAAATGGATAGAGTGTTTGCTTTCTATTTTAAATAGGAAATTGTTTTCTAAAACTAAAATACTTGAATTGTCAGACAATGTAATCTCACTTTGTATTGGTTTTTGGATGATCCCATGGAGGAAGTGTAAAAATCCATGAAATGTGAATAAATGGAAAGTAAACAAAATCCCAGTGTTTGACAGCTTTCTGTTCCTGTGACACATCTGGTGGTCATACACCTCAGGCAGCCCGGAGCGGGGGAAGCAGGCAGCAGTGGGGCCCAGAACCCTTCCTGGACGCGGGTGCTGCTTGGAGGTGAGGAGAGACCTGTGTCTCACCAGAGCCCCCGGAAGTTGGATCACGTGACCTCCAGACCATTCAGGAGCTCCTGTTGGGTTCATGTTTTTACAAGTTAGAATGGGAATAATAGGTCCTTCGTTGGCTGCTGTGCGAAGCATTGTGCTCGGTGCTGTATGTGGATTATCTCGTTCAGTCCTCGCAGCAAACCTCCCAGACACAGGCTCCGTGACGGGTTTTCCAAAGAAGGTTCAGTTTCTTACGGGTAAGTAAATGGAGTTGGGATCTGTGTCCAGGTCTGTTTCAGTCAGAAATCTGAACCCTCTTACGAACATTTTAAAACATAGGGATCAAGAGGGCCGACCCCATGGCCTAGTGGTTAAGTTCGGCATGCTCTGCTTCAGTGGCCCAGGTTCAGTTCCTGGGCAGAGACCTACGCCACCTGTCAGCAGCCACACTATGGCGGTGACCCACAAACAAAATAGAGGAAGACTGGCACGATGTTAGCTCAGGACGAATCTTTCTCAGCAAAAAAACCCCAAAAAACAACTAAGGATGAAAATGATAAAAAATACATTTTTAGTTTATGTAACTTTAAATGTTTGGTCATTTAAGAAATCACTATTAAGGCATTAACAGATTAAGTTGTGCTATAATTATGATAGTATTTTGGTGCCAGGTTCATATTTTTTAAAGTTTGCTGAGTTGTTCAGCACTTAGCTGGTTTACCAGAGGTGTCTCCTGGTAAAGAAAATACTACCAAGACTAGCATGCATCAAAGTGTTTTTCCTCATCGGGTAACATTAATGGAAACTACTGAAGGGACGCTGAGAGGGCGCTGCGGAGAGGAAGCCTGCCTGAAGGGCACCAGCCCTCTGTCAGGAACTCAGCCAAGTGGCCGCACGGAGCATGCTCCTGGGAGCAGCAGCTGGGAACTTGTTAGAAACGCACACCCGGGCCACCCTGGACCTGTCGCAGCAGAACCTCAGGCTGGGGCCTGGCTGGTTGGTTGGTTTTTATTGAGAGAAAATTCACATAGCATAAAATTCACCATTCAAAAGTATACAATTCAATCATTTTTAGGCTATTCACAGAGCTGTGTAACCATCACCCCCCTCTCTAATTTCAGAATATTTTCATCACCCCCCCATTGGGATTCTAACGGGTGGTCCTGACACACGCTAAAGTTTAAGAACCGCTGGGCTGCATCTGTGCTCCCTTGTCTAGAGATGACCTATGAAATCCCCGTTGGCACATTTCAGGGCAGGAAACAGCAGTGATTATCAGAGTTGCTAGGAACTGTGCCAGCCCTGTACATCCATGTCTCACCCTGCCCTCACTGCCCCTGGGAAGGGGGTGACCCAGCTCTGCAGCTGAGCAAACCCAGCCCGGCCGGTTCGATGACGAGCCTGAGGATGCAGCTCGCCGAGGGCCCAGCCCCGCCCGGCTCTTCCCCGTTGGGCCGCTGAAGGGATGTGTGTGCCCAGTAAAGGACGAACTTCACTGGTTTCCAGAAGTGGCTGGAATCTTTTAAATAAAATCGTTTATTTAAAATATAATCATTAAACTTCACTAAAAACCATGGTTATTTCAAACTGAGTAATCTGTTTTATTAAAGTCAGATTCCAAGATGAAAGACCCTTAATCCACATATAGGAAAGAAAGATCTTGTTAAATCTGTTGGCTTATGTAAAGGCCAAGTCAGGAGGGAATTCAATGAAGCCGTGAGCAAAAAAAAAAGACATCTTTTGTTTTATCCTCCAAAACAAATATTTTCCCTTCCTCATATAAATTCTCCAGCTGTTCTGTCATTTTAACAATCGAGCACAAAGTACAGCAGTTTACACATTCAACATGTATATATATACAGTGAACTATGGTATCATATTGATTACGTCATTGTACATTTCCCCTCCTCCCAGTATAAAATTCCAAAGGTTTTCCCTTCCAGTCAACATTTCTTTCTAAGCTAGGGCATGACAGTAGTTCCTAAAAGTTCCCCTAGGTCAGAATACAAGAACTGAAACAGCAACATGCCTTCAAGAGCAGGCAATGGATAGGAGCGAGGTGCTGCAGGCAGCTCCCTGGGCAGACACTTTTTCCCCCAAAACCTATTAAATGTTTTTCAGGTGACCATTTTAAAAGGCCCTCCTACTTATTTAAAAAAAGAGGGGTTTGATCTAGATGGCAAGGAAGGCGTCTTTCTTATCAACTAAACTGCCTCGTTCATAGCCACCGTCTCGTACAGTCAGCCCTGGGTGCTGCCGGTTCAGAAAATTCTCCTGGCACAGATGTTTCTAATGCAGTGACTGTTTCCAAGAGGTGTCATTTGATGTGATGACCCTCACTTTATGTCTGGATTTGTGTGTGCGTTCCTCTAGACCGCCCTTGTCACTCTGTCGCTCATTTTCTATAACTTTCTAGTGTCTTAGGCCTTACTTGTGCCCATCACCTTGTGACATAACTCACAGTTCACTTGACTGTGGAGAGAAAACCCCCCTGCCTGAGAGGTGACCCCAAGGCTGCTTCCATCAATAGTAGGCTCTGGTTGCATCAGCCCAAAAAATGTGCCAATGTGCTCGGCATCAACTCCATTAATTGTAGAGTTGGGAGGCAACCGGGAGCCAAAGTCCAACAAGCCGTCTTCCAGAAGACCAGCTAGCTTGTTGGAGCCTGCCTAAACTTGAACTTGGGACTCCTAACTTATGTTCTAGTCATTTTTCCACTTCTGTGAGGGCTTTTTATGAGGTTATCTTAGCCCCCGTGGCCGAGTGGGTAAGTTCCTGCGCTCCGCTTCAGCAGCCCAGGGTTTCGCCAGTTCGGATCCTGGGCGCAGACATGGTACCGCTCGTCAGGCCATGCTGAGGCGGCGTCCCACACAGCACAACCAGAGGCACTCACAACTAGAATATACAACTATGTACTGGGGGGCTTTGGGGAGAAGAAGGAGGAAAACAAAAAGGAAGATTGGCAACAGATGTTAGCTCAGGTGACAATCTTTAAAAAAAAAGAGGTTATCTAGAAAAAGGTTGGGAAACTTCACGATGGAAAGGGTATATACTGCTTCAAGGGGGCTGAGAGCTAAACCTGAAACACATCTCCTATGATTTAATTTTGCAAATGCAGCCTCTGACCAAACCACAGCCAGCAGCCCACCAACCCTCTCGCTGACTCCTAGGATGCCAAAGACAGGGCGTGGGGAGGTTTCCGGCAGTCTGCAACAGTTCAAAAAGTGATGTGTGGAAGCTCCGAAAAAAGTATAAGAAAGCTTTGGGGACAAATTAAGGTTTAGTCACTAACTGATCACATTGCTGTAACATCTATAGAGTATTTAATCTGAAACACCCTCACTAAATACAGATTCATCAGAGGAAAAACCAAGAAAAGTAAATTTAATATCCAACATGCAAATCAACTTTTGAAAGAAATGCAAAATCATAAAGCACAGCTAACGCTTGACCACAAGTACTGCTTAGAAATTATTTCTACTGTGTGTGGAAGATGGTTACTGCAGAAGCTGCTGCTGCTGTTTACGGAAACACCACTGACAGTGAGATCCTAATGTATTCAAGGGATGCCATCCTGGTGTTTTTGCTAAAATACATTTTGTAGAAATCACTTTAGTTTAAGCCCCAAAGTAGTGAAAAATCTCAACAGGTTTTCTTTGCAAGTTTAAGTATTCTCATAACAGAAGTCGTTTGGAAACCATAAAAGATTATTATTTACACCTAAATCACCCGACCTTCTACAAAGTGAGGAATGAAAGAATGAGGGTGAGAAAGACTGGGTGCTTCCGGCTGCTCAGCAGAGTTGGAGTATCACTCATTTTTGATCTGCTGAGCTCAGACGGGAACGGCGACAATACAGACGCCCACTGGCTCAGGAAGAACAGAGCACTGTCAACACGAACCCTGTCCACACGTCTGGCTTCCTCCACTTCTGAGGTCCACCCACCATGGAATTCTGACCCCAGCGCCCGGGCCACCTGGTGCTCAGTGACTTGGCTCCTGGGTGTGGTGCCCCAAGGAGCTCTCTAGGGCTCTTCGTCCCAGGGGCTCAGAGACAGGGCCAGAGGCGCCCCTTTCCCACTGAGGATCATGTCAGGGCCCAGTCAGTCAGCGAAAGAAACAAAGAAGGGAAGCCCCGCGTGTACCCACACCCAACTCCCGGAGGTCATCTCCCGAGAGGGCCGGGCAGAACTCTGGCTACCTGGCCTCAAGAGCAGCACTTCCTGACACCTCAAAGGCCACTTGTGTTCAAGCTCGAGGGCCAGATGTTGGCCAGCACTTGCATTTTTATGTCTCTTAGAGTCTGTGTCCTATTAGGGTGGCTACTTTTTAAAGAGAAGCAATTCTGCTTTCTGATGCAAAGAAGAGAGAGCTCGAACAGGAAGAATGCATGTAATATCGAAAGATATTGGTTTTTGAAACTGGATATGAAACTAAATTCTAGCTAAATTGGAAAACTGAACAGAATATATATCAGAGAGAAACCTACTAAGGCTCATTACAAAGCTGGCAGGCTTTCAGTTTGTGTAAGTCTTGAAAGAATTTCACCCAGCAATTTAAAGCCGCCGTACTATGACAATGTCAAATATACTTTTCACGTCAGTCGTCAGCAAACACCAACTGCAGAGGGCCCTCCCTCTGGACTGTCTTTTAATAGAAAACAACTTTTTACTTGATTCTTCCAAAGTTTACTAACTAGTCTATTTGTGATTAAAACATCAAAAATAGATCCTGGTTTGATTCTAGCTAGATTCTTTGGGAATAAAGTCACATGAGGAACACGACTTCATGTCGCTACTCTCATTGTCCCACGTAGATAGAAACCTACAGAATTTCTGATGACTTGCTCACAGGCCTCGCAAAGTCCGGAAGCTAGCAAGGACCCGACTCGTCAGGAAGCCCGCGGCTCCCCAGGCTGACCCGGCCAGGGAATGTTTTGCTTCTTTCTGTTCTCTTCTGACGACTTCTCTGCTACTTAGGTTTTAAATAATATTCTTCCTTTGAAATAATGAGCCCTGGCTGTTTTCAAAGGCAACTGGAAGTTCCAATGAGACACCAGAATAAGACCCAATGCCCCTAACCCTCAGGTACTGAGCGAAGAAGGAATGGAGATGACGTTACCTATCAGACGCCAGGACCACGGCATTTCTCTAAAAGAAAAAGGATAACTTCCTTATTCACGTCCTAGAAAGTGACACTCAGTTTCTTCAGGGGAAACTGTACTTAAATTCCCATTCCCATTGAAGAAACACGCACATGCTCTAGTCATCCCTGCCTTCTACGAGAGACAGGCACGTTTCCAGAGAGATTAAAGACAGCCTTAGAGAAGTAAAAATGGACCAACCCCAGGATGCGGGGGCGCTGGTTTTGGCCCTGCCACTTATCATTCTAGTACTTTGTTACTGATGTCATTTGTCTCTTTGAAAACACCAACCTCAGGGTACCAGCATACTGCCTGGTTACCGAGTGCCTCTAAGCACGTCTGAAATTCAGTATCGGAGGTACCCTGCAGAGGATCTAAAGACTGAGAAAGTTCAGCTCCACTGGACATGGGTCCGTCTGTCCTGGACAGCACAGTGTCATGGCTCAGTGTAGACGGGGGCCAGATGCCTGGGTTGGTCTCCTGCTATCACTGCTTGCTGTTCGATCTTGGGCAGTTCACGTAACCTCTCTGTGGCTGTTTCCTCATCTGTAAGATGGAGATAATGATAGTACCTGAATGTTTAGCACAGTACCCACACATGCTAGGTACTACCTAAGTGTTGGATACAAAACAGCCAAACCATCGTGCACATCTGTCCACATGCTTACAAATGAGGCATGGCCTCTGAGATCCCACGGGTACACACGTTTCTGAGCTCTGCAGAGCATTTCACACGTTACTGCAGCTGGCCCTCAGTTACCCTGCGAGGCAGGCGGAACTTAGGTTTGTCATTTTACAGAGGAGCCTGACTCGCCCAGGGACCCGCCAGGATGGTGGCTGAGCCTCAGAGCTTGGCCGGTTTCTGGCGCCCGTCGGGGGAACCTTCTCGTGCGCCTCACCTCTGAGACCGGGGGTCCGCTGCACTTCTGCCCGTGTCGAACTACCTCATCCTTCCACAAAAGATACATCAGGACTGTATTTCTCCCGAGAACTGGGTTCCAGAGTCTTCAGACCCCAGATGACCAGGGAGAAAAAGTTCCTCAGGAGAAAGCTGTAACTGCGCCCCCTGTACGTGCACTCGGGGACAGCACTCGGCTCCCCTGGAGAACACTCAGACAGCGTCTTGGAACCCTGGGCCGCAGCTCCCTGCGGCTCTGCTCCAACGCCTGGGGGCGAGACCAGGCCCGGGCTGCCCTAAGACACTGTTTTGGAACATGAAATCGTGCAGAGCTGAGATACAGCCGAGCGTGAGTGGGGGGCTGTCAGACAATGCGAGAGTGTTCAACCCCAACTCGGCACACGTCTTCTCGGCCTGGGTGACTATGGGGTCGGGGAAGCACCCCAACAGTCCAACGCCTGACCAAGCAATGCAGAACGGCTGGCGACCGCGCCTGGACCCAGTCATGTACTGGAACCCTGGAGACTTCAGTGAGGTAGGTGGTATCAGCCCCATTTTACAGGTGGGCAAACTGAGGCAGAATGAAATGCAATAGCTCGCTTTTAATAACAGCGTACAAAATCTAGAGAAAGCCCCAAAGTAGTCCTCTGTTCCCGGAGCCCAGTGCAAACCCCTGGAGTGCACAGAATAAAAACAGATGGGAGAACAAGCCCCGCCGATTCCCTTTCTCCCCCAAAGAGGGTCTCTAAACACCAAGAGGAACCCCTCAAATATTCCTGGGGACTTCAAACAAAAGGACATAGAAACAGAGACCCAGCTTACAGTTTATTCCCAGTATGGGAGGGGAAATGCATCTGCTCTCGAGAAGGCTCCTGGTTGGGAGAAGAGCACAACGTGTCATCGCAGACGGAAGTCCTCCTGGCTGGAAGGAGGCCCCAGGCGAGCCCGAGGCTGGACGGCTACTCGCACGCACCGACCAGACCGGCCGCGCGGAAGCCAATTCCTCTTTGCCTCAGTCAGGTGGTCTGAGAAAGGAGACCAGCTTACTCAGTCAAAGGAATTAAGCTCTAGGAAACTAGGGAAGATGAAACTCCCTTCCCCACCCCCGGCCCCCAGAGGGTGGAGGTTCTACCCAGAACCTTCCCGGGAGGATGCCAACCCCACCCCACCATCCACCCTTGCTGAGATCCCACTCTCGTCCGGTCTGGCTACTCAGCCCTCCCATGTGCCCTCAGAGTCCACGTTCTGCGGGCCCCACCAGCCATGGGCCAGAGTGGGATGTCTCCAAGTAGAGGTGTGTGTGTTGGCGGTGCTCTTTGGCTGGAAGCAAAGGCCATTCTGGCGGGATCGGGGCCTATCTGCCCAGCTCGAGGCCTTTCTGGAAGCGGGCACAGGGTGAGGTATTCCCAGCCCAGAGTAAAACCATCCAACAGCTTGTGTTCCCCATCTCCCCATGTAACCCACTTATAACCAAGTGTAAAGGAGGGAGGACGGACGAGTCGGGACTAACTCAAATGCTGAAGTTCATACAGCATCGCAACATCTTAGGCCATTTTCCTGAAGAAAGGTCGCCAGTTTGACACTGAGCCCCCAGCTGGGTGGTCTCCACCTGCTGTCTGCTGGGACGTGAGCGTCAGGCCAGCAGGTCTGGACACACTCTGGATGTTGGCTGCTCCTTCACTCTCTCTCGTGGCCTCTTGGCATCTCTGGTCCTCTTTGGGTGCAGAGGGCTCTCCAGAGATGGGCTGGGGGTGATGGGTGATGGGGGTGGGTGCAGGGGCAGGAGCAGAGCCAGCAGGGAGGAGAAAGAGGCACTTCAGTTAGGGCTGGTGTTCGTGGAGTCGGCCCTGGCCCCGGGAGTCGAGTGGCCCCGCCTGGCTCTGGCTCCGGCGCTGGGTTGTCACAGAAGACCCCGGTGGCGGTGGACAGGTAGGCACTTGGCAGCACTCCAGGGCCGGGCAGGGCCGGGGGCTCTGCGCGGGCTCCGCACACGGCTAGGTCATCAGGATGGGCTTCTGCCGGACTTCCAGGATGTCTAGGGCGGCAGGACGGGAGCGCGTGAGACAAGGAAGTTAACGCTGAGCGGTGCGGCGACGACAGCTCCACTGATGGAGGAGCCCACACCGAGTAATTACACGCATCTCCTCCTCCAGCCCTCAGGGAACTGCAACGCTGTGATCGCCCCGTCTGATGGACAGGGGGACGGGCTTGGAGCGGCTGCATGGCCTGGCCAGGCCCCAGCAGAAGTGGGGCTCAGACACCGGCTTGCCTGGCTCTGGAGCCACCGCGTGGCCCTGCTGCTCTGCCCATGAACTGTACCTCTCCCACAAGTGATGCACACCCAGGGGTTTGAAGCCACTCGAGAAGGGACAGCAGGGGCTGCCCAGCGCTGCACAGAGGGCTACCTTAGGGGAACAGGGAGGTCGAGAGCCCTGCTTGGAAACCTACTGATGGGCTCCCGACTGGAAATGACGGGCCGAGGTCAGACACCCCACGAGTGGGCCTCAGGCCAGCAGGGCCCAGGAATCAGGCTGGCTACACAGAAGTGACAGTGGTTTTCCAACTCCGCCAACATTACCTGTTAAGATCCGATGCAGCGGCAAAGTGACGTAGGTTAAGTGTGCATAGAGAAGGAAATTTCCATCTGCTCTGTTCAGCTTCAGCCAGGACCCAACTAGAGACCGCCCTGTGCCAGACAGGGACCGAGACCGCAGGTTGGTGGCATTATGCAGGTCGGCTAGAGGGGAGAAGGCGGGGTCAGGGCCCAGGCAGGGGTCTCCTAGGAGAAGCAGAACACTTCCCACTCCAGGTGACTCCTTCCCAGCCCAGCCCCCCCCTCTGCGGGCCGCTCTACCCTCCAGCTGGAGCATCCCACCCTCCCTGCCTGTCCAGCCCTGCCCCAGCCCTCAGGCCCACACCGCCCCTCGGAGCTCTCCGGGACTCCCCTTCTCTGTCCTGGAGCTCAGCTCTCCTCCACGGGGTCTGGCACATCGCCACATTGTGTTACTTCTCTGCTTCTGGCCCTATCTGTCACTGGAATCAGGCACCATCAGTCTGCAGGGCACAGGGGCCAGCCTGGGATGACCTGTCACCATCACCCAGTCTTACGAATCACCCGGGGAGGCGGGCTGGGTGGTTATTAACGTTTCCTACTGATCTGGAAACAAGTCGAGGTGGGGAAGGCACTTGCCCAAGCTCACAGGAGCAAGTCAAGGCTGGTGCTGGAGTCTCCTGGCCCTGGCCAGGGTCTTGTCCAGCAGGGCCTCTGTCTCATGGCCCTGGAGGCCAGGACCACTCAAGGCCACAGTCCCAGCTCCCCGCCGGGGGCAGTCCATGTTGTCAGTGAATCCTTCCACTCTTTCATTAGTCCAGCAAACATGCATGGAGTTCCTGACATGCCGGGCGCCCAGCTCAGTCGGGAGGACGATGGCATAACACACGCTCAGGCCTCCCAGGCACAGGGTTGACCAGAACCTCCCAGCTTGTCTCCCATCAGCCAACCCTGCCTCCTACGGTCTGTGCTCCGCATGGACCACTGCACGGTACTGTCAACATTCACATCTGATTTTGTCACTCTTGCCCAGAACCCTCTGATGGCTTCCCGCTGCTCTTGGGATGAACGTGGCTCGCACCCTCTGTGTGGCTCAGCGAGTGGGAGACTGGCGGAGATGCTAGGAGGCCACCAGACAGTCAGGCGTGGGCCTGGGGAGGCTGGAGGCAAGGACGCACAGGAGCGCAGGTGAGCCCTAAGGAGACTTCACCGAGCAAGGGGAGACCCTGAGGGACACCCCGACTGAAGGTTCTAGAATGAGGGCCAGCTGGCCAAAGACAGCACTGAGGAGGAGTAACTCAGCAGTCTGAAGCCACAACATGCACGAAGGAACCAGAGAGCTCCTCTCTCCCTCAGCAAGTTTTCTTGCACCCTCTGTGCGGGACAGTCAGCCCACCAGCATCAGAAGTCCAGGACCCTGCAATGGTGTGCAAACCGCCCTGCACACCTCACACCCTGAACACAGAGAGCACAGGCATGGGAGTTCCACGAGGCAGGGGCCTCTGTCTGTTCACGGCTCCATCCCGCCCCAGCCCACGGGCACCCACTCTCTCAATGCAAGTAGATGAATGAATGAACCAAGGGGAGACTGAAGGGGCGCAGGCGGGTGGGCCCTTGGGACATAAAGGGGCCAAGGTCACCTCCGCCGTCGTCCTCCCGGAAGAACTCCTCGCTGTCGTTGGCGGAATGGGACTTCTTCATCTCAGCAATCCGGTTCCGGGGCACCTTCCTCTTGAGGGATGGGGAAAAGAAGGCAGGCCGGTTGTTCCGCTCCGGGGTGGGGGGTGTGCTGAAGGAGGTCACCTGGGAACAAAGAGCATAGTCACCCGAGCAGCCCATGCAGCGCTGGGGGTCCCAAAGCCCACGCATCTCCTGCCCAGACTGAACCAACACAGAGCTCAGGGAGCGCTGGGAGGGAGCACTGAGCGGAGGAGGAGACCTGGTCACTGGCCGTGCCCTCTGGAGGGCTGGCCACGCTGGGCTATGCAGGCACTGGGAGATGGTTTCAGCGTGGGGACGGGCAGAAGGGCCCAGCCGCCAGCTCCGCCCGGCAGGACCCAGGCTGCCCTCTTGTGGGCCTCAGACACCAGTTAGGGGGTTGTTCAAGTGCAAAGCAAGACTGCTGATGCCTCAGCCCAAGCACCTACCACAGAACCCACCAAGCCTTGCCAACCCCCCAAGCGGAGAACTAGCATCAGCCCCATCTGACAAACGAGCAAACTAAGGCAGGACAGCGACCTTGACTTGACAAGGTCACCCAGCAGGGTAGTGGCAAAACTGAGACTGCACCCCAGGTCCTGTGCCTCCTAAGGCTGCGTTCCTCCCCCAGTCTCTTCTCTTGCCTAATATGTGCCCATCCCTCCCCCCAGGCATCCTTTCACAGAAGCACTACGGCTCAGCAGCTCTGTGCTTCCATCGCCTCCTCTCTCTTCTAAACCACACTGTCCGTCAACCAAACGTTCTCCACACCCACCCGGGGCCAGGCGGGTGCAGCACTAAGGACAGACAGGCAAATGACACTGGTCCCTGCCCTCAAGGAGCTCACAGTCTGCTGGGGGCGACAGACTCGGAAAGTGACAACCACAGACTCCATATTGGTTGCTGAGACAGAAAAAGGGAAGCACAGGATACAGGGAAGCACAGAGGCAGAAGGGATCAACAGCCTGGGAAATCAGGAAAGGCTTCCAGGAAGAGACGCTGCTTGAGCTGGGTCTTGAAGGACGAGTAGGAGTTCGCCAGGTGAAGAAGGGGGGGAAGGGCGTTCCAGGCAGAGGGAACTTGGCCCATCTCCTCCCTCCTCCCCACGCAAACAAGAATCTGAGGAACAAGATGAGCTGGGACTGAGACTTCAGGAGCCCCATCAGCCTCCTCGTCACGGCTCCGACATCCACAGTCCCGGCGGCCGCTGGGCTCCAGACGGTCCTCCCACAAGTCAGGGAAGGTTTTTAAAAGATAAAAAACAGACACCAGAAACCACAATACACACAGAATCTGCATTTGTCATGTGCTGGTTACAAATGACCCCCCCTGGAAAAGGGGGACAAGCAACAGTAAGCACAGAGGTGGCAGGGGCCTGAGCAGTCCCCAGGAGGTCAGGCCCCGGCACTGACAGCTGCGTGACCCTGCCAAGTCCCTCCCCTTGACCCCAGGCCTCTCTGATGTTTGAGCCCCGGGCTTTCACAGGCACCATCTCCTCCCCCCATCCACCCCCACTGACAGACGGAGAGCCCAGGCTCTCCAGGCTCAGAGAGGTCTCCCAACATATCTGCACTCACGCAGCAAACAAGTGGCTGGAATTGGCACCCAGGTTTGTCCAGCCCGGAGCCCAGGCCACAGCTTCACAAGGACCTTCACATACAGGTTTTATCAGGGTTTCAATGGGCAATTTAGGACCAGGGAGAAGAATTAGGCTCCTTATCTCAGTAATGACCTCAGAAATATAAACCACCTCTCATTCCAAAGATGAGAGAGGCCTTTGCCTGGAATTCTCACCCATCTTTGCAAAAAATTAGCATTTATTGGTTTTGTTCTGCTTATAAAACACATTCATTGTGGAAGATACAAAACAAAAAAAAGTTATAAAGAAGAGAGAGAAAACCCCCATCTGACTAGCTGGACACAGGCATGGCTAACATATTTTTACAGAATTAAAGGTATAGCAAACACACCGCCCCCATCTCGGGCCATCAGCGGTAATCACTATTTACATTCGTAAGTCACCTTCCTGAGAAGGCCAAGAGCAAAGGGTACAGAGAGCAGCTGCGACCTGGGGAGCGCTCCTGAGGCCGAGCCGTGCAAGGGGCGTGCTGTGCAGCGGCTCCCCGAGCCCCCGCACCTCGGGCAACAGCTGTTCTCACCCTGCTTCTGGATGAGAAAACCGAGGCTCAGAGAGGAAGAGACTGGCCCCAGGCCAGGAGCAGCAGGGCCCAGATTCCAGCCCACGAGGTAGCACCCTGAGCCCCTCTCCTGGAGATGGGCTGGGCAAGGCTGCCTCCCTGCCCCCGGGCGCTAACTTACTGTCCTCTTCCAAGACCCACAGCTCTGAGCAGCCCCCTCTAGAAGACCCACGGGAGCAAAGGCCAGGGGCCTGGGAACTTTCTCCTGCCTGCGCCCTGGGCCCCACTGGAGGCTCTGGGAATAGAGCTGCGCTGGTCTTGGCTTCCCAGGCCTGGGGAAGGATGGTGGCCTAGAAAACAGGAGGGCTCCGAGGCTCAGTGCTGTCACACGAGAGCCATGGGACCCGGGTGAGCCTGGGTGCCCAGGTCTGCAGAGAGGAATGCTCAAGCCCACCCACAGGGCTGCCGGTGGACTCCCAGCAGTTCAGATACACAACACCTTGTAAACAAGGGGACCCGACAGAGAAGAGATGGGTGGCCCCAGGGCCTCTGAGCTCTCTGGCTGAGCCTCACAGGGCAGGAGGGAGGGGAGCCAAGCTCATCATCACCCCATCTCACTCACCAGGGAAGGCTGGTCACATGCCCAGCTCGCCCAGAAGGTCCACCAAGGCAGGCGCCAGGATGTGGTAAACTCAGCTGGCTGTGGTGGCAGCTCAGGGAGGCAGAAAGAGCTCTGGCCCAGGTACTAACCTGCTGTGTGATCTTGGGCAAGTCACTTGCCTTCTCTGAACCTCAGTCTCCTCACTGGGGGGTGGGGAGCATGGCACCTACCTCACAGGGTGGGGGGATGTAGGGATCAGGGAGACGCTGGGAAGAGGATGTGACGGACAGGAGGCACCACCCCTCCCCCGAGTGGCACTGCCCTTACCCGCTCGTGCATGGGCGAAGCCGGGCTGGAGTCCTCTTCTGTCCCACAGGGGGACGTGTCACCAGTGGACACACGGCTGACCGCCATCTCAGCGTGGCCCTTGCCCTGTGGCCCCTTCATGCGTACAAACTCCATGTTGTTGTACTTGTAGAAGCCAAATGACATCTTCTGTGCCATCCGGGCTGCCACGCTCACCTGCGGATGGGGGAGATGGCCTGAGTCAGCGCAGGGAGAGATGGCCTCTCCCCAGGACACGAGCAGCCAGGATGACCATCCCTCAAGGAGCAGGCCCTGAGGGCTGCCCCCCCACCCTGGGGGAGACCCAGCCCGGCTGAGCTGCCCACGCCCAGCAGCAGGGCGGTGATGGGATGCTTGGATCCCTGGTGATGCTCCTCTCTGTCTGACCCTCGGCCCACAGCAGGCCCAGCACCAGGCTGGGAACAGAGCCCCAGCCCTTGGGCATCTGAGACCGCCTCCCCTTTCCCCTTCCTTCCTAGGTTTCGAGGGAGGCGAGCCTCTGGACGGGGCCTGGTTGCAGGAGAGCAGCCGTCCACCAGGATCAGTCAGGGGCCGGTTTCAGGAGAGTTTTCACTCAGGGCGGCCCGAGTGGGCTGAGACATGAAGAACGCAACATAAAGCAGGCCCTGAGCCACTTAACAGGGGCCAGGGTGGGCGGCAGGCACTCTGAGGAGGGGCGGTTACAGCACAGAGCCGGCGAGGACAGAAGGGGGGCTGTGGAGTGCCTGCCCCCAGCCCTGGGCAGACAAGGGTCCAGTCCTTGGGAGACCATGGGCCCACCCCTGCACTCACTCGGTTGTCATACACCTTCTTGAGTGCCTCATAGCGGATGGAGCCCTGAAAGATGACCCCTTGGAACGTGTTGGTTTTGTCACTGGCCACCAGCTCCACACAGACCATCTCTCCTTCCCCCACAGTCATGTCACTGAACACCTGGGATGCGACACAAGGAGGAGACGGGGACATTGACTGTCAGCTGCCTATCACCAAAACCACAGCCCAGCCAGCTCCCATCCCACCACCCCCGGTCACTCGCCCAGGCCTGCCAGGGAGGACCGCTCAGAAAGCTCCCATTTTGTAGGTGAGAACACTGAGCCACAGATGTCAGGACATTTGCCCAAGGCCAGGCAGCCCTTCCACCAGGCCACTGAGGCCAGCACAGCAACAGGAACAGCCTCACTGTGGGCAGGGTGGTGTCTAGTGGGGGCGGGGGAGCGTTTCGTAACAATGACTCGGAGACCGGAAGAGGACACACCGCCCAGCTGGCCGTTGGGAGGATGCCCCCTCATCACACTTCCTCATGCTAAGGAGTGAGACAGTTTACAAAGACTGTCCAGTCCACTTTCTAGAATCTTCTTCTAGCTGTGGCTAGCTCTGGCTGTGAGCAACCAGCCCCGCCTGCCACCCTATCGGCCCGCCCCCGAGCTGCAGGCACAGGCTGAGGAGTGCTGACAGAGGGACCGCCTGCCTGAGTCACTACTCCCAGGGGCTGGTGTACAGACCCAGCTTTGAGGTCACACAGACTCCGGCTCCAGTTCGGCTCTGCCATGAACGAGCCGTGTGAGCCTGGGGCGGGCACTGAAGCCCGAGCCTAAGGTGCTTCAAGACACCATCAAACCCAGAAGAGACCCCGAAAGACACACCCTTCCTCCTGAGTCCTCCAGGGCCCTGAGCACCTCTGGCCAGGCCGACGGGGAAGAGTGGCTGGGCAGTAGCTGGTGGGGTCGGGATTGGGGTGCAGCCGGGTTCTTCCCACACCCTGGGTTTCCCTGGGTGAGTCACCTTCTCCCTTGGGCCCCACTTTTCCCAACCTTAAAACAAAAGCGTGGCCCAGAAAGCTTCCAAGGCCCCACCCCTCTCTGACACCCTAGGATCCCAAGACGGCAGGGGAGGGGGAGAACGTTACAGAGTTTAATGGCGACAGTAATTGACTCGTCCCACCCAGGCAGCCCTCCCTGTAGGAGTTTACGATGCATTCTCCCACGCACGAGCTCGTGTGATCTTTGACTCCGACGGGTGAGTAGGACAGACGACATGACGCTCATTTTACCGATGAGAAAACTGGGGCTCAGAGCAAGGAGGACTCCTCTGCCCCGAGTCAAACAGCAGCAAGAGGGGGCCATGTCTGCAGGAGGCTGGACCCACCCCGCTCCCAGCGCCCTTTCTGGACGGGGGGGGCCTGAGGGAGAGAAGCAGCTCACACTCCCTGATGGGGACGCTAGAGGCAAACGCGGCTCACCTCCTCGAAGCTGTCGATCATGAAGAAGATGTTGGGGTAGCTGATCTTGGACTCCTCCCCCTTGCTGTCCATGGGGTGTTTGCTGGGGGATGCAAACACTTGCTGGAAGAGAGAGTTTAAGGATTACGTGAGGGCCCACCCTGCACCCAGGCTCAGACCCCTCATCTGAGTGGAACGTGTTGTCCAAGGCACAGGTCACCATGGTCACACTGCTCAGAGCCAGGCCAAAGCCAGAGGGACCCCTCTGGAGAATGCTGTTTGGATGACATGGTTCTGCGCTCCTCGCATGGGACATAGGACCCTGGAGCTGAACGCATTTCTGGAGTGAGACCTTCACCTCTGGGGCTGGACGTGAGGAGGACTCTTCTCCCCTAAATAAACACTGGGCAACCAGAGAGCCATTCTGGGCTGAGCTGGCAGTGAGGAGTCCTGGGGGCTCTGGGCCCCGTGGCTCACCTGAGATTTCTTCTTATGGATGTGGATGTCCCCCCCATCAGCGCGTGTGCACACAGCACATGTCACCATGTAGTCCAGCTGGAAGAGAGCACAGCACAGTGTGTGTGGAGGGGTCTGCTGTCCGTCAAGGCCTACCCACAGCCCTCTCCCTGGAGCCCTGCCCCCCACTGCACCCTGTACCTTCTGCAGGATGAGATTCAGGCAGACGCTCTCTTCCCAGTCAATGTCAGGGTCTCCCAGGCCTGGCAGCTTCTTGGAATCCCGCCGGTACACCTCCACCTCCACCTCGGGCTCAGCCTCAGCCAGCTGCGAGGCACAGGGCAGAAGTGAGTCCCAGCCCCGCTGTGGCATCTGGAGCTCTTCTCCCTGACTACTGCACTGGTCAAGGTGTTAACACAGACACGACTCCAGCCTTACCCCTCCATCTCTAGCTATTAGACCCAGAGATCACCAAGAACTGAGCCTCCGAGGTCCCTCGGGCCTCTGCAGCAGAAAGGGGGATCCCAGCAACCTGTCCCACCCATACTGCTGTTCTTCACCCTGCCAACAGACGACCTGTCCACCCAGCCACCCTCCTGCACTAGTGCAGGAAGCACGCGGGTTGCTATGGAGACTGGGTACCAGCTTGCCTGCCTGTGGGATGGGGAGGGGGCGGGAGGCAGCCGGGCTTGCCGCAGAGGCCCCGCAGTGCGCAGGCGCTGAAGAAGGCCCACACTGCGCCTGCGCCTGCCAAGGGCTTCCCTCCCTTTCTGTTCTTTTGAACAATGGGGCAAAGAAGCTGCCTGGGGACAACTCGAGTTTCCCGACTCCCCTTCCTGGGCCGCCCTGCGCAGCCTGGGCCCATGAGCTCTCCTCACATTGCTGCCTGCCCCCTGTCCCCCAAACACTACAGTCAGACACTAAACGACCCACCCTGGCAGGGCACAATGTCATGTGGGTCTAGCACCACCCACCCACCCCCCCTCACCACCACCGTCTCCCGCTCTACATGTGCTGGTCCTTTCACACGGAATGTCCTTGATCCACTGTTGTCCCCTCTCTATCCTACCACACTCCAGCCAGATGCCCCTCCTTCTTTTTGTGGGCTCCCCCTCGCCCCCCGTTCTTCCCACCATCACAGCACCAACCGTTCTGTGTCACTGGCTATGCTGTCTGTCCCAACAGACTGGGGGCTCCACAGGACAGCGCCAGGTCGGAGTCACTTCTGTGCTCCCAGTGCTGGGGGAGGGGCATCTGTACATAGCTCACTGTGTTCAATGGAACATTCTAGCACACAAATAGCCAGATTGCCACAAGCTCCCATGGACTCAGCTCCCCTCCCTGACCTCAACACCCCCCAATCTTCAATAGAGTCTGCACACAGCCGTGCCCGCCTGCTCCAAATTCCTCAGTCCTGGATCCAGGGAACTTCTCCTCCCCCCAAGAAAGAGCTGTGATCGGCCTGTTCTTTTTGCCTCCCCACCTGGCCTCTCCAGGACCATGCAGACCTGACCTCTCCCCTCTCCCGCCTGCCCTCCTGGAGAATTCAAGGCCGAGCTGACTAGAGCTGGGGCCTCTCCTGGCACCGAAATTCAAGGTACAGCTGAGAGTGTCTCAGACGCACCCAGTCCTTATTAGAGCCTCTGGTCTCGACAGACTGCCTTTGGAAAAGACTGAGATTTGCACAAAAACATTGTCTGCAATGTGACTCCAGCAGATGTCAACAGGCCAGAGTGGTGGAGGGCAGAGGCCAGAGCCCACAGCCCTGCCACCTCCTAACTGTCCACCCTTGGGCTGAGGGCTCCCCAGTTCCAGTTTCTCTGCTGGTGAACTGTGGAGGCAGGAGTGCGCGCATCTCCAGAGCCGTGCTGACAGAGGAGAGCATGCCCAGTACGGGGTCACCAGCAGCGAGCCTCCTAGATGCTCACCGCCTTCTGCCAGGGGACTCGCGAGGTCACATCACCCCGAACATCTGGCCTCCCAGGTGTGTGTGACGGCAGGCCTCTTCGACTGTCACTTCTCCAAGTCTTCCTCTTCCCACGCCTTCCCAGGGCCCCAGGTACCATCTTGGTGCCGATGCTCCCAAATCTCTACCTTCGTCCCTGGCACCTCCGCTGAGTTTCAGACAGGAGACCCACTGCCTGGACGACATCTCCATCTGGACGTCCCACAGGCACCTCTGACTCAACTCCCCTCCTCTTGTGTCCCCTCCTATGATGGGCACCATATTCACCCCAGGCCCAAGTCAGAGACCTGGCTGTCAGGCTGCCTTCCCTCCACCCCGCGCTCAATCATGTGAGGCCGTGCTCGTCAAGCCCACTTCCTTGGCCTCCCTGGCACCATCTGACCAGTCCTCTGCGCCCACCCCCTCCCGGGTTCGGGCCACCACCCACGGCCTCTTGACAGTCTCCTTGCTTCAGCTCTGACCCTCTCCAGTCCTTCCCCCACCCACCGCTCGAGCTTGTTAAACAGAACTCTGACCTCGACCCCCTCCTCAGTTTCTCAGGCTCAGTGGTTCCCCAAGGCTTTGGGGACAAAACCCAAACTCCTGGGCATGACCTTCAGCATCCACAGGATCTGGTCCCTGACCACCTCGCTTCCTTGCTCCTCACCTTTCTCTCCCCAGCCGCACAGAACCGCCAGCACCCACCCGAATGCATGGGGATTTACAGACTTTCAGGGCCACTGTTTGGGCCATCATCCGCCCTGCTGAAGGACCCCTTTTCCCCTTCCTTTAAGACTCATCTTACCCAAGTGGCCTCTGCTGACACTCCCATCCCTTCTGGTCACTGTAGCTACCCCACTGTAGTGGCTCACTGTGATGTACTTCTTGGTCCCAATGCGCAAAGGCCCAGTGACAACACACAGTCCCACAGACAGCTGCTGCAGACACCAGATGAACACCAGGGGACCCAGGCCAACCCTGAGTCTTCCTGCATGTCACACAGCCCAGCCAGACTGGCTGTATGGCACCCGCAGGGAAGACACTGTTCTCCTTTGCAGCCGGCACTAGGCCTGTCCCTTTGCAGAAAACCTGTTCTCCAGGTGTTGGGCTCAAAGAGCAGGCCCAGAGCAGGGAGGGCCCCGAGCGCTTGGTGTGCAGGCCACAGCCAACAGGCCCCGGCCCTGGGGCCACAGGGCCCTGGACTTGGAGCAGGGCAGCCTGCAAATTCCAGACCTGCCTCCAAGGCCCTCCCATCTTTTCTGTGTAAAGGAAAACAATGCATTTCCATGTTTGGCATACAGGTTGCTTCAACATTTTACAAACTGCTAGAGCTTCTGAAGAGCAGAGAAGGAAACACGCAAAGTTTGTTTTAACTCCTCTACACACTTAAATTTAGCGGATGAAACGCCTGAGGCGAGTCACTTCACCCCCGAGCCCTCGGGTTCCTTGTCCTCAGAAAGGGGATAGTAACGCCCGCCCCGTCCAGTTGTCGGCAGGACACTGAAGAGCGCAGCCTGTGTCTGCACAGGGCAAGGCTCCAGAAGTGGTGGCAGCATGACCTCACCAAGCCAGGTCACCCTGTCCGCGGCCAGGGAGGACCCCGGACTCTGGGATCAAACCTCTGCCCTGTCATTTATTTATTCATTACGAGAGGCTGGCCCAATCACCTAGCCTCTGACCTCAGTTTCCTCAAAGGAACGACGGCGACAATCATCAGAGCCTTTCTGATGTGGTGAGGATTACTATCGATGCGCACACATGCCTGCACATCCCGCCACCGACAGCTTGTGTGAGTGTCTCCACACGCTTCCCGGCACCGACCAGCTGCTCAGTGAGCATCCTGTCCCCTTCTCTCAGCACGAGGACTGCGAGGAAGCCCACCGTGCGCGCCAAGAGCAGCCCCCTCACCTTCCTCCCGTCAGCGCCGCTCTCGCTGCCCGCGAACGCCAGCTTCCGGCGCACATAGAAGAGCATGTCGTCCTGCCGAGGGGCCCACTTCTCCATGAAGTAGGTGGAGAACATCCACGTCCAGAAGACGATGCGGTCGTCCTTGAAGCAGCCTGTGAGGGAGGCCAGAGACCAGGGAGAAAGGACCCGTCACCCTGGCCCTCGCCGTGTGACCTTGGCCAAGCCCCGGCCCCCACTCCCGCAACCTGCATTTCTGATCAGAAATCCACCAGGGCTCTGTGGCGTTCAGAGCCGCCCTCCCTCCCCACCGCCCCCATGGGGCATCCGGAGAGGCTGGAGGACGCCTCCTGGGAGGCCCAATTCCTCCACCCATGGTGGCCCCAGCTCCCAGCCCCCAGCGGAGCAGGCGGACTCCAGCCCAGGGATGAAACAGCAGCTTTGGAGGGAGAGGAAAGGCCCAGCGTCTGGGCTGGGAGCAGGAAGGGCTCCGGAGGGGAGATCCATCAGGCTGGCACCACACTCAGCCAGCATCCCCCAGGCTGAGGCAGTTCCCACAAGAATGCAACTTAAAGGAACAGCTGCCCTTTGCCCACCAGCCCCCGCTACAGGCAGAAGTCCACACCCACCCTCACCCCCGCGTGCGCGCAGGCTTTCAGCACACCAGACTCATTCTCACTTGATCTTCATGGGGACTCTTCTTTTCATTACAAATGTATTTCTTTTTTTTCTTTTTTTAATCTTTTTTTTTTTTTCTGCTTTATCTCCCCAAACTCCCCCGTACATAGTTGTATATCTTAGTTGCAGGTCCTTCTAGTTGTGGGATGTGGGACGCCACCTCAATGTGGCCTGACGAGCGGTGCCATGTCCGCGCCCAGGATCCGAACCCTGGACCGCTGCAGTGGAGCGCACGAACTTAACCACTCGGCCACGGAGCCGGCCCCACAAATGGTATTTCTTTATGATAAATAATTCTTTCTCATAATCTTTCCCGCACAAGGAGAAATAGCCCATAGGCTCTGGTAGGAAAAACCTGGGTTTCTCCAGTTCTGCCACTTGCTGTGTGACAGCGACCAAGCAGCTTGGCCTCTCTGATCCCCAGGTTCCTCACAGTGAATGCAGACTCACTGAGACCGTGAGTGTGAAGAGCCCATACCTGGCACAAAGCAGGATCAACAAAGGTGGGCTTCCTCCCTTTCTAGACAGATCCCATTAAATTTCAAGATATGCCACAGACCTGTTTCTTAAAAACTCAAAACATTAAATTGTTGCTGGTTTCTTTCTTTCCTCTCCAGAAAATACTTTATCACTGTGACCTAGTCCTCGTGCTTTGATGCTAGAAGGACCTGACCTAATCTCTACCCTTAGAGACAGGGAACCCAGAGGGCCGGTGGGTGCCAGCACACTCCCTCAGCCTCCCAGGCAGTTCCGTGGCCCGAACAGGACTGGCCAGGTCCCCTGACTTGCAGCCCAAGCCCCCTCCTCCTGAGGGTCGGCCCTCAGGCTCTGGAAGACTGAGTCACATGCAGAAAATCCCAGCCTTTATTTCAGCCACGCCCCTACCAAAGAACCAGGGCTCCAAACTAGCTCCTGCCCTCTGCCCTCTGCCCTCGTGGGCAGCCTGTGGCCCACCCCCTCCCACACCGTGCCTGGTTCTCAGAGGGAAGAAAACAGAAATGGTCTTATTAGTCCGTGGTCCAGGTCAGCCAGCCTGACTGAGCAAGCTGTCAGCCTCAGGGGGCAGCGGCCAGGAGAGCCAGCGGACTGACAGCCAGCACCCAGGCTCCCAGGCACCAGGCGGAACCAAAGACACCGTCTGCATCACTCTGCATCAGCGTTTTGAAATCCCTGCCACACTTCTACAACAGGCAACGCCCAACTCATGCCACCACAGATCCCCCACAAAATCCAGCACAGCTGCTATGTTATTTCTGGATAAAACTCCAACTCTCCCCGTACGTTTGTTTTCCTTCTAGCTTCCTCTGAGCCCAGAGTCCAGCAGAAGGTCATTTAGACTAAATGCTCAAAGACTGCCGGTGCCGAATGCTTCTTGGTCCCGCGGTGGATACAGAAGCAACTCTGGCCATGACAAGCAGGGGGTCGTGGCTCAAAATCCCGCCACCTGCCACAGGGAGGCCAAAGTGCACCCTCAGCGGCCCTCCTCGAGGCAAGCACTGCCCTTCCCCGGCGATTGCTTTTTATTCTGCCAAGAGAAGTAACCCGGTGGTAGGACCTCGGGCTCCCAGACACCAGCGATGATGAGGACAAGAGCAGCGGCTATGAATTGTTAAGCATTTGCCACACGTTGAGCATGGGGCAAAGAGCTCTCACAAACTCTCACCGGCACTCCATTGTTACGGCCCCCCTTCACAGAGGAACTGACTCAAGCGGCTGAAGAACGCGCCCAAGTTCACAGAGCTAGAAACTGCTAAGTCCTCAGAGCTGTCAGACCCGCACTCAGGCTCTTGGAAAACACGATGTGCCATGCTTGCTCGGCAACCTGGCGAAACGAAGGAACCAGATAATTAATACGAACTGTTTAGCAGGCAGCGGGCACGCCCTGGGAGCACAATAAGTGGGGGGCGTTCTCGGGCCGGCGGGAGGATGCAGACAGAGTCTGGTTTCAGGAGTGAAGTGCTGGAGATGGCACAAAATAACACACCAATTTGCTCTTTAGTATTCCACGTGCCCAGCCAGGCTCTGGCACAGCGGGGTCCACACATGGGGTCCCATTATCCCTGCCTTATAACACTGACAAAACATCTTCTTCACAGCTCATCCACCCTGGTTTAACAAGTAAAGCCTGCAGACTGCCTGCCAGCATCTACTTCTAACTCACAGGGGCTCCTGGGGCCCGGCCCCAAAGGCACCCCAGAGGCCACCCCCAAACGCCATCTGAGAGGGATGGCACTAAGCCAGTGCTGGTCCCACCACACACATGCTCCCAACCAAAACTCCCGGCAGCCCCGTGGGCGTCAGCAAGTCCGACGTGCGCCACACACACCAATCCTTCTCCCGGCCCTCAGGGCCAGCACCGACCCACGCTGGCGCCATCTCCACTGGGATGCACGAGCTGCCACTTCCACTCCTACCCCGACAGGCCACCCTCCACACCGCAGCCAAGGATCTTTATTCACAGATGTTCTCCCGCCCCCGCAGAACCTTCCCATGGAATTCAGACTCGAATCCCAAGTTCTGACACAGTGCTCCCCGACGGCCCCTGCCCCGCTCCTCCCCAGCCGCACTAGCCTCCTGGGGGGGCTGACCACATCAGCGCTCGCCCACCTCGGCTGGCCTCTGCACCTGCTCCTCCCCCTCCTCCCATTCTCTGCCCTGGGACCTCTGCACAGCAGCTCCTTCCTGCCATTCCAGTTTCCATTTAAATGTCACTTCTTCAGAGCCTCTCCTGACCCATACGAAATGTGCCCCCAGGGTCCCCCCTCATCTTGCTTCACTGCCATCACAACCCTTCTCGTCATACCTGGTTTTCTTATCTGTCTGCTGTCTGTTCCCCTGCATGGCAGCGTCCAAGGAGGAGGGATTTTGTCTTGATGACAAAGATCTCAGCGCCCAGGACAGGGCCAGGCAGACAGCAGGCACTCAGTAAACACTGGCTGAATAAATGGGTTATCCCAACTTAACAGGAAACAGGCTCAGTGAAGTGGGTAACTTGCCCAGGGGCCCACAGCAAGGGAGTGGCCCAGCTAGGACTGTCCACATGAAGGCTGGACACACCCATGCAGAGCACAGGGAGTGGATTTGCCACCTTCTTTCAGCCACTTAAGAAGGATCTTCCAAAGAAGCTCCAAATGCCACCCAACGCACAAGGGCTGAAGCCCGCTCGGCCTTCCCGGGGCTCTAAGAAACGACTCCACAGCGGAAAGCACTGCCGAGCTGCACAGGGTGGGGGGGCCTATCGTGTGCGCCGGGAAGGTGCAGTTGGGAGACAAAAGGAGCAGGTGTCCAGACACAGCCGGCCTCACCTGTCCTTCCAGAGCACCTGCTGCCACTGGCTGCCCGGCATGTGCGAGGCAGGAGACCCAGTGCCCACAAGCTCTGAAAGGAACAGGGGCTTAAAAATTCACTGTAAGCTGTAGAATATCATGTAGATATTACCATTCGTGTTACTATTTTAGTACCAACGTGACAAACCCTGCAGGAAGAAGCCGTACTCTGCCAGGGAAACCCCACGCTCCTCCCCCCAACACAGGCGCAGGACAGGGAGAGGCGCTCAGGCCACAGAACTGCCAGAACAATTGCCAGAAGGGGCCACGGGTGCCGCACTGAAAGACACTGACGGAACGCATCACGCAGAGCATCTCCACGCCCAGGACACTCAATGTTTAAAAGCAAGAAGAGAAATCACAAAGGTCAGAGCTGCCTCTTCAACAGTCAAAACCCTGTCCGTGCCCAAGAGGAGCCGACTGAAACCAAGGGAGCACGAGGACCAGGGGAGTGACGTCCACAGTGAAGCGGGGTGCCCGTAACGCAGAGAGTCCACATCACAGCAGGCATGAGAGAAAACAAGGAGGACTCCACTGGATAAACGGGCAAAATACCAAACAAGTAACCTACCAAAAAGGAAACAAGCCGTTAACAAAAGTGCAAGAAAATATGAATCTCGGTAGTAGTCAAAAATTCATAGCAAAAAGGCAAGCTGTCATTTGTAAGAGAGCAAATTAGGTGTTTAAAAAATACCACTTACGAAACCCAGCAAATTCATACAAAGTTAAACATGTATTTACCAATGGTTCAGCCACTCCTAGGTACTTCCCCAAGAGAAATGAAGAGTGTGTCTGCACAAACCCTGGGACACAAACGTTCACAGAAGCTTTATTCATAATAGCCCCAAAATGGAAACCAGGAGAATGGACACGTGAAACGTGATACAGCCACTCGGTGGACTAGTTTTACGACTAGCAATGAAAAGAAACTACTGATCCACACAGCACTACGGGTAAATCTCAAAATCATCACGCTGAGCAAAAAAAGTCAGGCGCAAAAGGCCACAAACCGTATGATCACAGTCACGTGACGTTTCAGAAAAGGCAAAACCCACAGTGACAAAAAGCAGATTGGTGGTTGCCCCAAAAGATTCTGATTCTTGGTTGTGGCGGTGGTTTTGCAGGTGCACATAGCCATCAAAACTCACCAA